TTGTTCTCTATAATTTATGAATATATGCAATGTCTCTCTAGTCGCTTTTCTTAGCAAATCAAAATTCTCATTCCCCTTACTTTCGTGCACGATAACTCAAAAAGTAATAACGCTACTTGATAAAATTTTCATGGTTGACTCTAAAGACAATTGCATGGCTTGTAGGTGAAATATAAGTTTCTTATTCTGTTCAGTCAGTTAAATAACGACTGTTTATTTCAGATAGATTGTAGAGGCTTTATATTTATAGCCTGTAAAACAGCGACAAGTTTTATTTATCCTAGTTCAGCTCCGAGGCAAAAATATTTAGAACTAAACAAAGCCAATTTCGTCGTGCTAGGCTAAAAACCTAGTTGCAAAATTCGTATATTTTCCACCATTGGGCGTGTTTTGTTAGGATTCAGGCAGGGCCGTAACTAGAACGATAATTGGGGGGGGGGGTTTCATATATTCAGTTCTGCCCGACGGATTTCCATTGTGAGCTATTGCACTTAATATATGAATAAACACCCCCCAATTATCGTTCTAGTTACGGCCCTGGATTCAGGGTAATTATAGTGACTGAAGATTCCTACAGATCTTGTTTCCCCTCAGAGCAACTTAGCTTGCAATATGGTATGAAAAGATTTTTACATTTTTCAAAAATTAAAGGAATATTTTTGTAGTGGAAACGCCAGGAAATATCAATCAAATATAGGTGTTTGTTCCTGCTTATATCTCACGTATTACACCATGATTACACCGATTGAACTCAAGGGGAAAATTTTGCGAAATCAAATTTGCTTTAGCTTCACTTTTCGGAGCCAGTTATCATTCCAGATAGAGGAAATTGAGTTCACTTGGCTTACGCGATCAGCCAAAGCTCATAGTCGTTGGGCGTTTGAGCGCGAGTTTGTTAAAAAATGTCGTACTCGAAAGCCCAACCACAGAATACCTAACAGAAGTGGAACTCCTGTACTTTTTTCGTAAGTGTGATTCGTCATGATTCGTCACTTAGCAAGTGCATTTTTTTGAGGTTGTCACCCCCCTGCCAATGTCTAAAATCAACGCATTTTTAGTATTGGCAGGGGGGTGACTGCCTCAAAAAAATGCACTTGCTAAGTGACGAATCATGACGAATCACACTTACGAAAAAATAGTATAGAGTTCCACTTCTGTTAGGTATTCTGTGGCCCAACGACTACGAGTTTGGCTGATGGCGTAAGAAAACAACGCGCGAGAATGACGAATCTAATCTCGTACTTGTAGTCGTACTCGTAGTCACTGCTAAAACTCCCTAATACCTATCAGAAGGAGAACTCCTGTATTTTTTTCACAAGTGTAATTCTTCATGTTTCGTCGCTTAGCAAGTGCATTAAATAGAGGCCCCCTGCCAATTTCTAAAATGAGGCCATTTTTAATATTCGCAGGAGTTTGTTGCCTCAACGAATACGAAAAAAATATTTGCCATTTAAGAAATAGAAAACATTTTCCGTGTTTCTATAACTGTATAGAAACACGGGAATTTTCCCGCCGAACTTGACAAGCGAAGCGATGTAATGAGAATTTGTAATTGAATCGAATTATAATATTTGTAAAAAATCTTTTTATCGCGTTATATTATAAAAGAAATAGAAAAAGTTTTTCCTGCGTTTCTATACAGTTATTTCTCGTTCTCCCAAACTTCCTCGCGTGTCTATTTAACAATTAGCCTTTCTCACGATGACGTTTTTTGGGGTACTTTCAATTTTTTTAACGGGTTTTAAAAGTTACAACAACATGAAAAGCAATTTTTTTAGAATCAACAGACCATTGGAAGTATAACTCCAGCCTGAAATTAAAGACTGTGGCCGTTATGAGGTCTCACGCTTGCGGTTTTGAGAAAAAGTACCCCAAAAATGGCGTCATCGTGAGAAAGGCTAATTAGACAACGACTCCGAGTTGTCTACGAGCGAATAGTCAACGAAAGCGAAGCCTGAGTTGACTATTCGCTCATAGACATAGACAACGAAGGCGAGTTTTAGTATACACCCTGCACCTACATACATTAATCTCGAGAAAATAATCGATACACCGCAATTACACTGAAAAATAATTTAATTAATTCAATTTTATACGATCGCGCGAGCGAATTTTTCCCAAACGTTCACCATCACGAATAGACAATGGTTGAGTAGCCAATCAGAATGTAGGATTTGTAATAGACAAGAGTCGGGTGTATACTAGATAGATAGATAGATAGATTTAATAAAATGAACACTTTGCAGTTATTATATACAGCTGAATTATGTGTTACATGTACATTTTAAAACCTAAGTAGAATACAATAAAGTATATACAAATTTATTTGATAGAGAATTCTCTGATACTAGCAGGAATAAAAGATCTTAAAAATCTATTAGTTTTTGCAATTGGTAATTGAAAATTACGCCTACATCTTAAAACGTAGGTAACAGAGTCTCTTGCAGGCAGTAATCTAGAAAGTTTATGTGAAGGGTTGTTAGATATTTGCTGGTAGAGTTTTTCACAGGCTTTACGACGGCGCTCATCCAGTGTTACCAAATTTGATTTTTCCAATCGATCACCATATGGTAGCCCGGGGAAAACTATAGATGTTGCCCTTCTTTGAATACGCTCTATCGCTTCGCTGAGACAAACAGGTAGTGCGAAGTGAAACACTTCGCAGGCATACTCGAGAACAGGCCGGACACATGAGCAGTAAAAGTTAATTATGTCTTTTGGAGGTACTTAGCACGCTTCAATTGGACGATAAAATAAATTCGTTTATTTGCTTTCTTAATAAGCTCTGTAACATGCATGAACCACTTTAGGTCATCACTAATAGTTAGTCCAAGAATCTTCGCATGCCGGACTAACTCTGGGGAACCAGAGTTTAGCTGAACACTGGGGAACTCTTCTCTGATTGTTTGGAATTGAATTAACAACTATTTGCATTTTTTATTATGCAACTGGAACTTGTTTCGGTTAGTCCATGTGACCAATTCGTCGGCCCCTGATTGAAAGTGACTGGGTTGATTCTTTGAGACAATTTCAGATGCTGTCGTGTCATCTATATATTTCCAGTGGTCGAAGTTTGACAAATTTAGATCATTGATCATCAGAATGAATAACCAGGGTCCCAATTTTGTCCCCTGTGGGACCCAGCAGGGAACATTACCCCATTCGGAGAAACAGTCTTTCGCGAGTTTTACTCGCTGCTTTCGATTTGTCAGGAAATCTATTAGCCAGTTGATAACGAAAGGTGGAATTGAGAGCTGGCAGATCTTGTTTACTAATATAGTATGGTCAATTAGATCAAAGGCCTTGCGATAATCAAATAGAAACACTCGAACTGAGTTCCCTGTTCCGCCAGTTGCCTTTGCCCAATTATGTAACATACTAATAAGAGCTAACTTTACAGAGGATCCAGGTATGCCACTGTATTGGTTCACATCAATAGAATCTAGGATGGCCGGGGCGACATACTTCTCGATGATAAAATCTTCCGCCAGCTTGGAAAGGGAACACGTAAGTGAAATTGGTCGCAAGTGTTGATTTATATCATAAACAGGTTTGATCTTGGGAATTGGGGTAACGTTGGCTAACTTCCACGACTCTGGCAGTTTTTGATCTTTAAAGGAACTATTTAGGAGGATCGAAACAAGATATCAATAGATTCGGAATATTATCAGGTCCTGGTGCCTTAGAGGAATTTAGTGATTTCAGTTTTCCGTAAGTTGACCAGGTTGATGCTAAAATCGGAATCTGGTCTCTGGAAGTGTTTATAATATGATCAGTTGAAATAAGCGGCGAGAAGTCTTTCATAGGATCTAAGAAGGAAATGTTAATTAGATTAGCCAATTCTTCAGAAGAGAGCTGATTTGCGTTTTCAATCTGGATACTCTTCCTAAGGGTAGTATTGTTATCATCCATTCCACTAAGACGTTTGACTTCGCGCCACCAGTGCTTAGAATTTAGTTGTTTCAGGTGTTCCACCTTGGAAATATAGAAATTGGCTCGGCAAAGTTTCCTTTGTCTGTTGACCTTATTTCGGTAAAACTTGAAGAGTGTTAGATTGCCAGAAGTAAAGGCACGTTGTCGAAGTTTAATTAAGCTTCTAAGCTTCTCATTAATCCAAGGATGGTCACTATTGTGAACGCGATGACGCGTTTTAGGAATGATATGGTCCAGACCAATAGATAAAATGCTGGTGAAAAGATTGCTCTTATCTTCACAGGTACCAATAGTTTCGAATTGGCTCCAATCAATTTGGTTGAGATAACGCCCAAACATGGTCATACGCGATGGACTCATATTTCTTCTATAAATTACCTTTTTATAGTTCGACTTAGGGTCTCTAATCTTGGTTTAATTACAATAACAAGAGTGGTCAGATAAGCCAAATGGTGGATATGAGAGGGTCTCGTTAGATTGATAAAAGCTGTGTAGGTTAGTGATAACCAGATCCAGGGTGTTCTGTACACGAGTGGGTAATTGGACCAGTTGTTTTAAATGAATTACTAAAACTGTATAGAAACACGCTTCTCGAACAATCAGCACACGCGTACTATAAATGTTATATTATAATTCTATTTAATTCCCTTACAATATTATACATATTGTCACTATTTATCAATGATTTTATAATACAACTAAGATAATGCGAAACGAACGAAATCAAAAGTTATCATCCGACCAAAATTTCGGCCCACGCTGACTGTCTCATTTATTTCTCTACTCCGAGGAAACCAGCGGAAATACAACCAAACTTCTAGTGAGAAAATTGATACCAGATGTTGGAGAATAAGGTTTTGTTCACAGCCTCACAGGCAGTCAGCTGTACTTTTTCTTCTTGCCTTGGTCCTGTTAAATACTCTGTCAGGTCAGATACTGATATGTTAGCAAAAGGTTTCTAACATTTAGTTACAATGGCTATTGCAAAGCGAAGTATGTATTTTTGAGAGAAAATTGAATCCTGTTTAGGAAAACAATGAGGAGCTTACCTACTGCTGACATAAATATTGGACAAATCTTTATTGAGAAATCAAAGAACGATGGCCCAGAAAGTATAGCATTGAGCTTTAGGATCTGTTCAAAATTTATACCAAAAAAATTAGTGACAATTACAAGTAAGCTTTTTTCATATACGTATAGTAGGTCTGTATACGCAATATTGCATATGGATCAGAGTTACCTCACCTACAAGATGACACGTTGGACCATGGTCCTCCAGCTAGTTGGCTTGCACGTAATGGTTACCATTAATTCTAGATAAATATTAAGAAATATTTTTTATACCTTCTTCATACTATATTATTAAAGTAAATAATTTGGTGTTATTATAGATTGCGAATAATTCAATTCTTTCATCTTATGTAGATGAAAACAAAACTTATATGTATGCGATTGGTGCTGAAACGCAGACAATATCTCACAAGAAACAAGGAAGCCTTAAAGACTGGTAAGTAATAATCAATTAAGCACTATTTACCCAAATTATTATTTTAGTGTGTCTAATGCATCAGATGATATTATTGAACAGGAAACATTAAACAAGGATGAATTTTAAAATGTTGTCAAACAAGATCACTCAATTTAAGGAAGTTGTATGAACAAGGAAACTACTGAAAGAAGTTGTGTCAAGTGATATTTAACATAACTCTTACAAAATTTAGACAATGTGAATCAAAAGGGGGTACTTTTTTGATACACCCTGTATTTTAGAAACTGCAAGGCATTCAATCGATAGCTAGAACATACTTCTTTAACAATATAAATAATGACTTCTTTTGTAGTGTAATTCACACAAGTCAATTAGTAAGTCAACCTCTACTATACTATTCTTGCCTTTTTTATTTGACTGCCATATTAATATATCTCACTTATCAGCACAGACAAAATAATAAGCCACCCAAGCTGGTATGAGACCTCACACCAACATCAATAATATTTCAGGTTTATTTGTAAAAATTCATGTTTTATTAGTCTTACATTCCACAATTATGTGACATACATAACATGCAGGCATATCAGCATTAATATAAGCTAGTTTACATGGCATAAGTAGCCCAGAAATCTGTCTGTGACTAAGGCTTCAACTACCGGTACATAATATATCCACACAGACAGTTTAATACTGACTGCAATATTAAACTGTCTGCGTGCATAAACAATGTAGTCGAAGCATGAGTCACAGATAGATTTCTAGGCTACTTATGGCAGTAGTTGGGGAAGAGCATTACGTGAGGGACTAATAATATTCAGTTATTCAAATTTTGCAACCTTAGTTTCTTTTCAAATTTATTGTTTTTACAGTGTTGCCAAAAGTATATAATTATCAAAAATTTTACAACAATGCACACAACAATTTGTTAAGTGTGTGACACATTTTCAAACATTTATATCCTCACCAATGTAAATTTGCAAAGAATGATACTTTTAATTGATATGTTTTCATTTACTAGGTAGAATTGAGTATCATACTTACATATATCCCCATCCATTCTTTATTCTCACTATGAGTTGAAAAATGATATCTAAGGTATAAGGTAAAGATATAGATGACTTATCTAATGTTTATAGTTCATGGTATTTAGTTACATGACAAATTAAATCTGAAAAACTTAAATGCTTTGTTTAAAGTTATACATTGGACACTAATATCTATCATAATTAAGAAATTGCTTTTATCCTGACTTGGTTTTGATACAAGAAAAACATTAATTCAATTTAGAGACTGAGGCAGTGACATAGGTACTGGAGATTCTATATATAGAGCAACATGTCAAACCTATGCCCCTATAACTTAAAAAACTATTTAAAATTAAAAGATGACAACATGCATTCCAAGGGTAAAGAGCAGTTAATCACTAAATAAAGCAAGGCAAACGTCATACTGATAGAAATACAATAAAGCTGGGGGGTTTTAATAAATCTGGAGATTGGATAGTAAAATATTGCAAAAGCCATGCAGTTTAAGAGAAACAAAAATTATGGCCTATAGTTTTATTACAGTGCAGAGTTGGTAGATATGCAAATATTTGAGGCCAAATTGTAATTAGTGCTATAAAGAAAACAAAGAACTAGTGTGATGTTGTCTAGCTTAATATTGACGGTCAAAATGGTAAACTGTAAAGACCGTTCTCCATTCGCTTGGCTAAACGTTCCGCCGTATCGTAGATCGAGAAACGTGTACGTAGCGATTATTCGATTGAAATGAAAAATAAGGTCTATTTATATTCTATGAAGTGTTTTTATTCGTCAAAAACCTTGAGAGTTGCGGAATGAGTTGACGCTTGACAAGCTTTATTAATTAATACAGGATATTGTAAAGTAAAATTATAACTGGCATGGACAATTATGAATCATAAACAAAACTATTTGGTATACTCACATAAGCCATAATTCACCAGGTGATTTCAGATTTTCAGTTGCAGAAATTCAATTTCAGTATTGAAAAACATCGTAACGGTTGACATATTCGACAATCTCATTTTGTTACATTGCTCAACGGGTGTTAGGTCCAGGAACAGCGGAAGACGGAAACACGGAACAGCGGAAGCTGAAACAAAAATGATGTTACCGAAACAGCATTGCGAAACACAAAACCACAAAAACAACTTTTTTATAGTGGGCAAAAAATCTTCTGTGATGCTAGGAAAAAAGAACATACAGTAGCTATAATACTGTAAAACAATGATTATGAATATTACCTTTTGCACTCGTATACGACTTTTCAAATCGGTTGCTCTGCTTTATTGCGAAGCTCTAATAACAGACTCTTTATCATACCCGTTAATATTTTTTACACTTGGGTTTTAGCAAAATAGTAAAGTCGTGAATACAGTGTATGTCTGCTGTAATGCTTGCCTCACAGCAAATACCTTGACTTACCTTAATAGTTTTGTACAAATGACGTCTTTTGCTATGCAATGCGAACCTGGAATTGATAATATAAAAACAATAAGTAATTGTAGCGACGAGCTAGAGAATGCTGTTGCATAAGAACAGAGAGGGTCAGACACATTTCTTGGCAATATTATTTGAATAACAGTTTCATTGTACAGCATCATAGCTATCAACCCGATATTTTTTGTCAATATTTAAAACAATGTTTTTGCTGTTCTGTTTTGGATCCTCGCTGTTCCGGTGTTCCCCGTTCCGTTGTTCCTGGTTTTATCTGCCTTGGTGGTGACTGGTGACCAATGACCAGTGAAATGTAATAAATAAGTAAAATAACTCAGTTATATTCAGTTCACTGGTCACTCACGAAGACATGTTGCGTTTATATGTTTTCATAATCTGGGGCCGGTTGTTCAAAGCTAGGTTAGCGCAACCCTGTCCCTGGGTAAAATTTCAACCACTGCTTTATTGTATGTGCTTCTAAACTGGCACTGTTCGTTTTAAAACTTTAGCCGTCGAAAGAATCACTTCTATCGGACCAGAAAATATTTAAGAAAAAAGATATTCATCTTCGTAAACAAGAGAATAAAAAAATTAAGTAAAAATTTGCTTAAAGTCAAATTTTGGGCACCATAGTTATAGGCGTAGAAAACGTGATCTGCAGACTGCAGCCTGACAATCCCCACCATGATTAAAATTGGAAAAACTGATTTCAAAAGCTAAATCATTTTGTAAGAAGATACAAGTATTTTCAACCCCATTCATACCAGACTCTGGATTTATGGTTAAATACAAAATTTGAATTGTTGTTTAATCATCATTAAATGCCATTTTTTCACTTGTTTCCTGTATTCTGTGCCTGTGCCATGATCGAATCTATTCATACAAACATACTTCCTTGCTACAAATCATTGCCAAAAATATTTCAACAAGTAACACTGATTTATGTGATAATAGTTAGTAATATCACAATAGCTGTATAGTACAGTTCTAAATTCCACACTTCAGTGCTAATCTGAAACCTGAAAATAGATATAATATTCATATATATACATATAGGACACATGTAAATATAAAAAATATTGCAAGACAACTTGGTGGTTTTTTCTGAGGCGAATTACAAGGGGGGCAAGTGTTAATTAATCTATCATTTAAAACTGAAAAGGAATACTATGTAGCTGTTTTGTCTAATCATAAAACAATGTCGAAAGAACTATGGTATGATTTGAGTTGTGAAGAAATTTTCCATTTTACTTTCTATTTTAATTTTCTATGTTATATAATTCGATAGCTTACTAACTTTTCTGCTTAAGTCAGATTTTGTCAGAAATGAGACTTTGCTTCACTCTTACATCCATTTTCAGCAATTTAAACTAAGTTCTCACTACTTGCAAAAGTTTATTTGGGCCGAAATGTTAGTAATATACATGTAGTATTAGTTCAACAGACCTGATTAATAGACCTTGTTCATAATGAAGTCACTAAATCCTAATATTCACAATTTATTCTAACTTTGTTTCCATATAACTTCAAATGAAAGTTATTTATCTATTTTACAATTGTAAAAAAAATAAGGAAATAATCTTTGCAGTTTTAAATAATTTTAAAAACTCACATTTGAGGATTGAGACAAAACAAATCCTAAGTTTTGAGGAGTTTAGAATCCACATCATTACTGCATATATAGCATCATACAAAAGTGGGTTTTTAGTCTTTTTCTTGGTGAATACATGTTTTAGCATGATATGATTTTTTACTAACTTCATACATAGCCTGCAGTTGAGGGAGCATAATTTTATTGATGATATAGAATGTTAACAGTTGGAAAGCAACCTCAAATCTGAATTTCTTTTAAAGCAAAAAAAAGAGGTCGAAAATTTCGTTGCAGTAGCACTTTGAAGATGTCCATCAGTCCATTTCAGGCTAATTAGATATTACTTTATGCATGCTCGCAACTCTAATTAACACTAAGCAACAAACAGGTCAGAAACCAGAAATCATATTGTTTAAATTGCCCATAATAAAGAAAATAACAATGACCCTTCGGAAACACACTGTATATTTTGATGAAAGACACATTTCATTTTTATTTACCACTCGCTGACAACCGAAAGTTTGCTCCGGATAACAAGCCGGGACAAGTCAATACATTTGTCTAAATGGCGAGACAAAATGACTGATGGATGATACAAAAAACTGCATGTTTTTGACGTGGGAAAGCTGGAAGATTCCAACTAAAACGGGACCACGCAAGTGGCATTGGTGTCCATATTGCGGAGCGATTAGTATTAGATAAATTCAGTAACAAGGCGCACATTAGGCGGAAATGAAATTACATGTAGTCTGAAAACCTGTATGGGTCCAGGAAAGCTGGCCGGAAGGCCGTTTCGGACGAAATTATAACTGTGGCTAGGCCTTTGCCATCAGCCCTTTTCAACCATATTAGGGTAAAACTAATATAATTCGGTTAAACAGCTTTCTGTCCAAATTTTTCCATCTAGTTCTTTTTTACTAGAACAAACCAGGGCGCTTATATATATATAAGCGCCCTGGAACAAACAGCAAAAATAACCATGTCAGACGCAGTGTCCGATCTGGCGGTCTCTATTATGAAATTAGTTATAATAACACGCAAATAAATGTATGTATGTTAAAATCATTCTTGAATCAATTAGTTACGAACAGAAAATAGTTTTCATTTGTTAACTTCTATAGGCTGTGCATGTGATTATATCATGTGTTTATGTGTTTTTTATACAGTAACACCCTGTGCTGATTGGCGTGCATTGCCAGTCCTGAGCCTGTGGGGTTTTATTCATATTGTAATATCATGATCATGCAGCTCGGGTTCTATTGTTTAGAGCGGGCCTTTAACTCCTAATTCGCCCGCTTCTGTAAGCAGCAACGGCATGCAAGCAATGAGATGTACACATATGAATTTTTAACAATACATAAAACAATTATACGCTACGTCACCCTCGCTGATCATGATATTACAAACTAATATCATGACATGAGGAAAATTATTGATTAAATGCCCCCTCAGGCTCGGGAGGTTTGCGTAATTACACAAACCTCCCTCGCCTTCGGGGCATTTAATCACTAATTTCCCTCATGTCATGATATTACTTATAATTATCCTAATTATCATTAAATATGCATGTACTTCCATTGTAAACTAAACTATTTATAGTAATTTACATCGAAATATTTCAACTCAGTTCTTCACTAAATCGATAATTTTGTTTTCCATTTTTTTTTCTAAACGCCTTTCAAACAAACGGACCCAGGACCAATTTACACTCTGATAGTGATACTCCCAACTATAATTTACGGTCAAAAATTGGAGTATCATACTGATTTGGACGATATATTCACCGTCGAAACAAGATATTCTGGTAAAATTTTCATGATCTTTCTTTTTATAACCAATAGATCACGATCGATTTATTGATACCTAACAGTTAGTCCTACGTCTGGGGTTTAGAAAAACTACGTTTAATGCCTGTAGTACATGTACGTAAGATAAGCTTTAAGATCGAATTACTTTCTAAAAAATTAACTTTCCTATTGGACTATTATATGGCAGTTTGAGTATCTTACAGGCATTTAAGATGGCAGTTTGAGTTTCTTATCTTGCATTGTGGGAGAATATTTATGTACATGTTGCAATCTTAACGATGATAATAAATTTCTTGTACGATTGCACGGCGACTTTAGTAATTAAATTAACTTGTAGGTACAACACGTAGGTAATGTCCATGGCGTCAAAGAACCTTGAACCTTGCAGTATTTATTACGTGGTGTACCTACTAGTTAATTTAATTAACGATGATAGTTGATGTCAGAAATTTTATGTAATAAGATTAGCTATTCATGCACAAATATTAGGAAGAGGGTGATGACGTTAGAGACTTGTGATATAATCGAAAGACATTTTTTCTAAGTAAACATACTGATACCTAGCAAAACGATAGGAGCAAAGCTTACCAAATGTGAAGTAGGTAGTGTGTCACAAGGTTCTTTGATGCCATGGACATCTTAGCTAAATCCCTCGATAGTTGACACTAAAAGACAATAAAATATTGTCATGATGTATCATGATAGCTAATATTGGATTGATAACGAGCCAGGGTAGCTTTAAAGTGTGCCGTAGGTTATGTAGTTCGAATCAAGATAGTTTTAATAAGATTACTAGCTCATTCAGGATTTTTGTGAATCTCGGCATTTAGTTCGCTATTATACGGAAACGAGGCTCAGGGGCCAAAGGCGGAGCCTCGTTTTGGCGTTGTGGTTATTGCATCTCATTTAGGATGTTCTATAAATTGAAAATGACAAAGTTGCGACGTAATTTGTGGCCTAATCACTGATTATTTACAGATCAATTCTTTCCTAAAAATCACAAATGGTCATTTGTCCCCCAAAAAAAGAGTAATTGGACAGGTGGGTTCAGAATCATCAAAATGTGGTGGCTAGCTTTTAATTTATTTTCAAAATACTGAGGCTATACCCAAACTGGACCAGTCGACTTTAAAACCACGCCTGAATTCGTCTGGTTTAGGCATTTAGGTGAAGATGTTCACATGTTGCATGGAAACGATAAATATATGTATTTACACAAGGAAACCAGACGAACGCGAGCTCAGTCGAACGCGAAATCGTCGGGTTTCGTGTGAGCGTATCCCGAGTGTGTGAAAACTTCGGTTACTACGCCCAATCAAAACCATGTATAGCCTATAGCGGCAATTTCTACCAATCACGCAACAGAACCAGCATGAAGCATGCTCAAGCAACTTATGCATCTCAGCGTTTGCGTTCTTCCTGGGTCATTCGATATTCTGCAACCTTACGGGTAAGCTGTTATCGGAGCTATCGCAGATAATTGCCGTCACCAAAAGGTGAAATTTTGACTGAGCATATCAAGGTACGTTGGCTTTTGATGTTTACAAGCATTATTGTAGTTCCAAGGAACTCTGTGGCAAGCTGTAACGGAGTTTTTTATTTTAGCCAAAAACGTTTTGCCAAGAAAAAAGAGCAAAACGTCTGAAGAAGGATTCGAAGAAGAAGCAGGTTCGTTAGTTCAAAAGCGAGTTTGATTTCCATTTCTATATATATGTATTGTTAAAAACGATATTTTGTGAGAAAATTGAAAATATTCCTCGGTTTTTAGCAATTGCAACCTGTTTCAGCAGTTCCTAAACGGCGATAAGACTAATTCAGGTGCGCGCAATTTTTGCGAGCAACAGTTCGACCAAAAGTTGTCGTTTTCAAAACTAAACGCGCAAAGACGTTTACATATTTGTACTTGAAGTATGCGAAATATGCGAGAATGCCAACCCTTCTTTAAAAGTAAAATTAAATTTTCTTAGGAAAGTGTGTCAGTTTCGTATTTCTTTTCCTGGTTTTAGATTTCTTTTCCAGTGAAATTCTACTGAACAGAAACAGACACAACGAAATAAAATGGCGGACCAAAAAGAAGCCCGTTCGAGCCTTCGAATAAAGGTAAGGTTTCAAACTAAAATTTTCATTTGCATATATGGCCTCTGAATGTGAAAATATAAAGAATATGCCAAGCATGTCTATGTAATGGTAACTACAACTCGTGTTAGAATAATTTTAGCATCCTAATCAAAACTAGGTTGCGCTAAAACTAAACGTAGCTGTCAGACAACATCGTAGCTGCGTCTTTTCATGGCGTGCGTAAACTCAAAAGAAGGAAGTTCTCAAAAGTTGTTTTTCTTGTATGCAGTCAATTTTTAGCAAAAATAATAGCAGGGGAGTTAGTGCGGAAAAGTATTTTGTCAATTTTTGATGAATAAATAGCCACGGGCGATATATAGGTAAATTCTCATATGAATCGGACTTCGACCTTCGCGATAGTTATCCGAGCCAAGCCTAAGGTCACAAAATGGTTTATTAATGTCGTCGCTACGTAGGTACCGTAGTTAAATAGTATATTGGAATTATATGGACTTAAGTGTATGCAGCATAATAAACTACCAGCAGATAGGATTTTTCTGCAATTTTCTGAGATTTGAAATGCATGAAGGCAAGCATATACTACTAGTAGGCCTGCTAGCGTACTATATGCCTAAGCCAAGGACAAAACCAAGGGCACGGCTCACATACGGTTACGTTATTGGCAGTATTGCTGTATAAACGGTATATACTACATATGTACGAACTTTGAATGAAATTATTTCAGTCGTTCCGTCTAAATGCGCGATAGCATTACTGCCGTTACATTGTCATTGAATATTTAACCTTTAATCTATCTGGGCACAAAGAGCCAAGTCATAATATAACGTATACATGCCGTCATGCGAAAAATGATTTTGCTCAAATCAGTCTTTTTGCGAAGACGAAGTGCATCTTTGACTTTGGCTTGCGTGAACAAATGCAAACAGAAATAAATACTTTTTGGCCAAACATGGACAACTTCATTTGAACCGGCTTTCTAGCATTTCAAAGATGGCGGTAACTGATGGCGGTAACCGATGAGAGATTATAGGCCCGGCTCTATTATGCTGTACATAATTTTTACTTCTACGCGTTGATATTTACCATTTGTTTGTCATTTTCACTTCAGTTTATATCCCTTCGTAGGTGAAGGGTGTATATTCTCTTTGAGTATAACGAGTCTTCCTTGTAATAGCCTAGGTCAAGTTGTTTAAAGCCTGTTTAATAAGGCAGTTCTGTGCATGAACATGCATGATAAATAATTCAGTATACAGCTATTCAACTATGCAAATTAACTGCTTATTTGGGAAAATATAACACAACAGTCGGCAATTATTCAAATTAAAATTAAACTGTTTAGGAGCATGTATAGCATATCACTAAGTAGTCTGCGGTTCAACTGTGTCTGTTGTTCAGATCCAGGCCAGTCAGCCTGATTTCAATTGAGTTAATATGCAAATCCACAAATGAAGTTTATTAAAATGTATCTCTGGAAAATGTATGCTGACCGCTATTAATTCTGGAAAATGTACTATGCTGACCGCTACCTGGCACTCCTAAAATTTTGTTAGATCACTTAAATCAAAATTTTAAATCCTCTACAGTGACAGATCTAAACAGGGTAAATTACTGTGAGGGTAAATTACTGTGGCTCTAACTTGGCATTGTTGGATTTTTGTTTAAAAAACTATTTGGAAGTCTATTTGGTATTTTGAATTTGCAATGCAATGTAATTTATTTTGACAACCAAAGATCTGCCACAAAACTGGTTTATGCTAAAAATTGTGCATTGACTCACCTCTTACTAAATGCATGTAAAGATAGACACAATTAATAGACATTGTACATTGTACAATCACCAGGGCTGAAAAAATTAAAAAAATATGTGTGTTAATTGTTGTGTGAGGAACATAGACAAAAATTACTTGATACATGTGTCAGTGATTGATATATAAATATCAACTATAAATAGTAACTTCCTAAATGTTACTCTGTTTACACCAAAATATATCTCAAAAATCAGGGCCCAGTAACAGTTGTATGAAAGCTGTATAGTGCTAACTGGATAGTGGTTTTTCAATATCTCTAAAATTGCCCATTGTTTGGTAAAACTTGGATTAGACCTTAATTAGGATTCTAAAATTGGGAATTTTCTTTAAAAATTGTTAACTCCATGCAGAGTTGTAATTTTTGTTTCTTCAATATTGCTTATCAAGCATTTTTACAATGCTTAAAAAATTACTATCTGGTGGATAAGGCTATCCAGTCTTAGTACAACCAGTCCCAGGTTATAGCCAGACCATTTGTATGAAATATAAATTCTTTTGAGGGTTGCATGATTTCAACCACCAGTTTGTCCAACTAGTTAAAACACCACATACTAAATGCATTTTTGTAAGATTATGTACACTTAGATTAAATTAGTTATAGTTTCTAAATTGTCCTATAGTTGCAGCTCACTGGATTAGCATCCACTTTCTTAGCCATCTTAGGTAATTTAATTACCCCATGGCGAGAAATTGTGAACACAGTATATATGCAGATTACCAGAACTAATTTGCATATCTGCTCAAATATCATTCATTTGCAGAATTATTGAAAATACCACAATCCTAAATTTCTCAAAATTAATCATTGCATCTTTGTGATTTGTTTCTTGTATGGTTATACTGAAGTTAAATATTGAAGTAATATTTTGCTGGTAAAGGCTCATGTATATATATATACACATCAATTTATATGTTACTTGGTCGATGTTTGCTTTCTAGAGACAAAAAGAACCCAATGAGGAGACATTGCCTGAAGATAGTAAAGACCTTGAGCAAAGATATATCAATAACATCATTGGTATATATAATTAAGTTTCAACGATGCTTTGGTGCTTTAGCACTATCCTATATAGATACAATTTAAACACCCTATTAGAAATTAATAAGTCTAATATAATTAGGCCAGAAAGAAATTGCTCACTGAGCTAATTTGGAAGTTTGTTTTTTAACTGTATATATTTGTATATATAATAGGTGATGGGGTCTTTGCAAAAAGGAAATTTCAAAAAGGAGAATTCCTCCTTGAATATAAGGGGGAATTGATTGGCAAAGATGAAGGGGCTAGACGTGAAGAAGCCTATGTCAAAGAGCTTGGAAGCTTCTTGTTCTTTTTCGACTCTCTTTGGTAAGTTTTACATTTCTATAGAAGTGTATCAAAGATGATCTAAATTTGGTATTTGCCTTTGCCCTGTGTCAGACATCCTATTCATATGATCCTTTACCTTTATAAAGTGTTGATGCAACATTCTCCACGGGTCTTGGCAGAATGGTCAACGATAGTGAGATGAAACTGGCCAATTGCCTTATCAAGAAGGTTATTGTAGACAGCCGTCCTCACTTAGCCCTCTTTGCTAAAAAGAAAATTTTGAAGCACGAAGAGTTACGCTATGATTATGGGGTAAAGAACTTGCCATGGCGAAGAATAAAAGTAATTTAACTACTTTTACAGCTTGCAAGGAATGAGACAGTACCAAGCTGACTATAATATTGATTTGCAACAAACAATGCAATTGGGACACACCAAACAATGGTCCTTGTATAATCAGGTGGCGGCCCACCTGTTTGAACCATGTCCATGGCCAATGCAAAAGTAAAAAATTAACCTTGTTATGTACATTCAAAGTGCCAATAGTGTAATGCTTTCACTTGGAGTCTTGGACTCACCCAAGCAAACCCAAAAACATTGTGCACTTGTTATTTTGGAATTGTAAGCTAAAAGGAAATCATTTTCGCTCAACTGTCATTTTAAATTAGTACAACAACAAATTTGAACTGCCATTTAGTACAATAACAATCATTTTTGCTGAACTGCCATTTTGCTCAAATAGGCTGTAGCATTTATTAGTCTGACTACATATTTTCCAAAGGATTAAACGTAGCTTGCCACACTACCGATGTTTATAGGAATCGTTTAATTTCAAATCTTCATCATAATAAAAGAAAAGTATGGCAAATATAACTGATCATAATCTATGGTCTAGAGTAATTTCTTCGCGAATGCCTGCACATGGTTATCCGAAATTTAGAATATTTACCTTATCTTTTTTCAAAATTTTTATATATCCAACGAAAAATTACATAAACTTTCATCAGCTCCGCTCAAAACTTGAAAAAAGTAAAACCAGATGGCAAAATAATAATGTTGTAAAGAGACGTAACAAAGGTCATTTACTGATTACACATCAAGATTATAATTTTAGCATCTTCTTCAAAAAACCAGCAAATGCGATTGATTATATCCGGACTATCCGGTGCACGTGGGCAATACTGCAAGCACAGCTGTAACACTGGCTGTAACTAATTATTCTGATTGTAACGTCTGGATTGCTACGTTTCAGTCTGTACTGTGCTTCCATTTAAAAACTGAAATATATCTTTTCAAAACGTAGAATTTAATTTTTCTTTACTTTTTTTCTTGTTCTGTATCTTATCTATATTTTACCATTTTATTTTTAATTTCCCGTAATTTCCTTGTCATATCATTGATTGGTCGCATCGTGTAGATAGGCCTTTAGGACTTATTATTGTAAAAAGTTCGCATGGAAAGAATACCCTAAAGGTCGACACAGACCGGACGCGATGCGGCAACGCGACGCGAATTTTGAGTTTTCAGAAGCATATGAATTAAATTCTGGAAGTAAAATTTGGAAACTATGGACGCTAGAGCAGTCAAAATGTTTTGTTGTTATGTAATCTACAAGAATATTATGATAGTTTAAAATTTATTTGATTTTGAAAAATTAAAAACGTTGAAAATTCGCGCCGCGTTGCCAATTCGCGTCCGGTCTGTGTCGGCCTTAAGGGTGGTGGTTTTTCGCTGTCGCGCTCTCTGTTTGGGTCTACACAAACGTAAAAAGCTTAAACCCTTTGACCTTTGTTATATAATTAATCTTACACCTAAAGAATCCAACCCCATGAATCTATCCAATCGCTGTACGTACAAAAAACGTGACAGTGCAAAGATTAATAACTTTTCATTTAAGAACTTTGCAAGAGGAAACCGAGAAATTACTTCGGTGAAGTAATGAAAAAAATAAATGAAGGTATACCACAAAGTAACACTGCATGCCACCGCGATTGCATAATTGATGAATTTGAAACGCGAAATTGGGAGATGCATGGTCATGGAGAAGAATATCATTGCACTGTTTTCATGTTTGCATGTATCAACGTAATATTCTTTCGCCTATGACATAGTCATAGCAAAAAATCCCAGTTGCCATGCATTTGCAGAACTTATATGCGAATCATTTGAGCTTGTAAGTTGTGCCGAACAGCCGAGGTGCATAGGTTGAGTGTAGAAATTTAGAATTCTCTTTCAAATCAATTTCTAAATAGATAACAAGTTCAAATTCGCGCACAAATAGGTGAAAAATTTTACTCAAACATTTTTGTCAGGGTGAACGACTCTCAAGAAACTAGTTTTATGAAGTTTTCGTAATCAGTTACTGTTTCTGCCACAATGCCAGTGTCACTATTTCATTGCTTCTGCCATAATGCCAAAGATGATCAGGCAGATTTAAGCTCTTTTAAAGTTTAAACATCTATAGTATTCAAGAATCATCAACTTAATAGTTATAGCGTTGCATGACCTAAATATATGAAGACATGTTATTTGATTTTTTGTCCTTTTTGTTCGTCATATACCAACTTTCATTCTATTCTTTTACATTTAGGAATATACTCTGAAAAACTAATGGCGAGGGACGGTAACTCATCGGGTTTGAAAGCAGGTAAACATGGTCATGTATATAGACAAGGATACGGAACTATACGTTTTTAAATCATGAACCAAAATATATACAGCCAGGCAGACAGGTGCAATGATTACACATGTATGAACCTTTGTCATCTCTCCATGTAGTTATAACACCATGTAACACAAGATATTAGCTAAGTTTTAAAGTGGCTATATGTATGACTTGTTATTTGGCTGGACTTTATATGTAGACAGAAAAGATTGCCAAAAACACGCTCTGGTCGGTGCTGCTATTGGCCTCCATCATGAAGATGTGAAGATGTCAGGTATTTATTCTTAAACTCGTTTGTCAGAAGATATGGTGACTTAGCTACGTTTCAGAATTATCTTAAGGAATATTCTGGGTGCATGTGCGATCTGATGTCATTGGAATTCAGTATCTACGCTTAGTAGAATATAGAACTGAGAACAAATAAAATGACCACAGCAATAAAAAAGACAACGAAAAGGCATAAAGTAATAGCTCTATAACGAATAATAATTAATCACAAATGTTACACCCAGTAATATTTTATGTTTACTTTTCCATCACACTGTCTGTATAGGATGACTCAAATGCAAAAACATTACGCGGTAACATGATTATATCTTTGTCAATTCTGCAGAGGAAATTAACGAGCAATCAGGCAATGATCCTACTGCAACAATCCATCGATGTCAAGATTCCTTATTGACAGGTAAAGTGTGAATTTCAGTGCCATCATTCTTGGAGCAATTTACAATATTACAAACTAAAAAGGAACCACGACTTAGAATGATCACAAAAAAGAATTACTAATAAATACTAAAATTCCAAGTTACCTGTCCTGTTGCTTTGAGTAGAATGTATACAGCAGTTCCATCAGAACACCAAGCTATTCAGATAACAAATTTATAAAACATTATGGAATAATCTAAATTCTGCAGATGAAAATAACGAACAATTGGGTGCTGTTTTAATCGATGATTGTCAGGATGTGGTAATGAGAGGTAACGTTGTGAATTCCAACTATCATTTTTGTTTGTATTGCCTTAGAATCCGGATTTAAGATTGCAAAACAGCGTTGCAAAATTAGTAAAATATCGATCACTCCAATCCACTCCGTTAGTAAAACATCATATTATTCAGATATCGAATTTATAACACATTATGTAGAAACTTGATTATACCTTGATCGATTCTGTAGACGAAAACAACGCACAATCGGGTACCTCTCTTCGCGCGAAACTCCATGATCATCAAGATGTGGTAATGACAAGTAAGATGTGAATTTCAGTACTATGACTCTTGGAGTGCTTTTGAATACATTTCAAATCTAAAATTAGACAATAATTTAATTAGACTATCAATATCTAACAATCAAATTAGACTATAATTTTTGTTTGTATTGCCTTAGAATCCGGATTTAAAATTGCAAGATGGCATTGCAAACTTAGTGAAATATCGATCACTAGCTCCATTACATTCTGTTAGTAAAACATCATGTTATTCAGATATCGAATTTATAAGACATTATTAAGAAACTTGAGGCATACTAAATGGTCGCGGGATATTGCGAGACTTTCGGGCATGCAATTTTAGAGCGATAGAAAACCCATTATCCCGTGGATAGCGCTATCCTTCCCAAGTTATTAAACAATGTATTTTGATCAATTCAGCAGATGAAAATAACGGACAATTGGGCGCCAATTTAACCGAGGATGTGTTGATGACAGGTAACGCTGTGAATTCAAGCAGTATATGATTTTTTACCTGTACCTAGAATTGGTTTGGTAAAATGCAGATGAATAGTATACAAGGACGTTCCATTCTGTTAGCAAAACACAATGCTATTATAATAATTCAGACACCGAATTTATAAGACACTATGCATTTAAAAACCCGAATTCAAGATAACAAACAATCGGAGAAGGCTCACCATGCCATTACGATGCCAAATTTATAAAACAATATCCATTGACCTGGTTATATTCTTATCAATTCCGCTGAAAATAACGAAATATAATTATATTCCATGATCGCCCCATAGTCCAGCACTACCGTTTTTGCAGTTCTCTAGAATATACCCACCTAAAATTGGACAATAAGAGCCCACACAATTTGCGAAACAACCGATTACTAGTATATGTATAAACAGCACATCTAAGATACCATGTTTTGTTAATCGAATTAATACGGTTGTTATAGATAACAATAACGAACAATTGGGCACTCATATTGGCGAGGATGTGATAATGACAGGTAAACCTTGAATTTAAATATCCTTCGTGGTGTGTTTTGCAATGATTAAAATACTTTCAACTATATTCATTTTATAGAACGAAGACACTGCATTGGTGTGCCGCTTACGCATGGCCATGCCGACCAATCAGCAGCAGGTAAGAAATAAGGTTTAGGCAGGAGTTATCGGTTGGAAAGAAAATCGAAGTTCAGGTTATACATAGGTTCTATATTGGTTCAAATACATATATAGGTTCTATATTTTTTTTTAGTGATCTTTAAAATTTCTGCATTAGCGGACAATAAAACAGACTAAAATAGCCTGTCAATTAATACCGGCTGGAAAGTTTTAGGCTGAAAATCTTTGAACCTTTCGCTGTTAGGACATGTAATTGGTGATTTTTGTCATCTGCTATATGTTATTAGTGATAAATATATATGAAACTCACTACAAATTAATTACCTTAGATATAACAGATGGAAACTGCCATGTCTGCTTTGGCACAGTGTCCGGTTCCCACATATGTATCGTATGTCATCGTTCTGTCCACGTATTCTGTGGTGAGGGGATCGGTGACGAAGGTTATGGACAAGCTGTGACATGTTACAAGTGTCTAGATAGAGGTAGATGATTAGATATTAATGTTATTATTCATCGTGTTTTATACTCATTTTAATTTTTAGAAATGCAAATGCAAATCTAAATATTAAATCTTACAAAAAAATCAACAGACGGCAAAAATGCGAATCAGCGGAAATTCATGCATTGGCAAAAAAACCTTACTAACAAATTGACGTAGAAAGAAAGGGCATAATCCATAAGTGACAATGATATAGAGTGTGTTTTGCACATTGTTCAGCATTGCAATTGCTACATCGCCAAGAATCAAAATTAAAATATTTAAGTTCTCTGACCTTCTGTTACAGGAAAAAAACAAACGAAATACGCTGAAACGGAGTCGACAGATACATCTGGTTAGTGATATAAATATTTTAATATCTGTTGTAAATGCAATGCTAACCAGACATGCACACACACCTGAAAAGAACATTCATACTCTTCATAGATTGTGTTAATAAAAAACCCCAGCAAACGCCAAAGATCAGCAATTAACATAATACATATATATATATATATATATATATATATATATATATATATATATATATATATTATAATATATATATAATATATATATATATTATATATTATAATATTATACAGTAGGAGGCAAAAGTTTGAGTCCAGTGACTGTATTTCATTGTTTTAGCAGCATATATTAATATTCTACAGAAAACCTTACCGATAAGTGAACTACAAAAAAGTAAATGAGTCAACAGAAAAATACATGCTGTACAACAACTATGAGATGTTATGATATTCATTTTACGTATGTTAATCTGCAAAAATGCATTACAGATCAATGCTTAGTATCCCTCTTTTTTTCTCTTGAAATGACGTTTATTCTTGCTGGCATAGACTCCATAGGTTTTTTAATGTCGCACGTTCAATACCTTGCCAGCATTCGTTGACCACTTGCCTCAAGTCATCCTGGCTGGTGGGTCTGTGCCTCGCCCTTTTCCGGTTAAAACGGTCCTACAAGTGCTCCATAGGTTTCAGATCTGGAATTTGAGGTGGAAAGCCATGAGAACGAGATCACCAGAACGAGTTTGCTTCTAAAAGATTTCTGGCACATAGAAGATGTGCAGGTGCTTAGGGGATTATCATGTATAGTTAGACGCGCGATCATCTTTGTCCCAGATGAAATTCCATGTCCTTGAAGAATTGGATGATACTTTTCTTTAATTAGGATCCTATTAGCTATATCTTTCAATATTGCCAATTGCCAAACCGAGCATGACCGAACAAGCTAAACGTTTGCATGAGTAGGATTTAGTTTCTTCCAACCTCTCCAAGGTTAGTTGCATACCACCTTTTTAAATTCTCACTTTTTCTGCGATCTTACGAGGAAAGAATCCTTCAATACTTAATGCAACTATTTGTCCTTGTGCACCATCACTTTGCCCTTTTTCCCACCCATCTTGGGCAGTGTAAGGGAATAAGAACTTTATTTTGTTATAATTTAGATCATTGGGATCAAAACCGAGTATGCAATTAATATGGTTTACCGTATTGAAACACTAATACGCATGTCTTAGCTCGAATACACTGCCAGGATTTAATAGTGGAATTCTACAACGAATGGACTCAAACTTTTGCCTCCTACTGTATATATATATATATATATATATATATATATATATATATATATAACCAACAAGTATTCCCACACTGCTCGGTAGCAAAGACATATAGAAAACAATTGTAACTACCACGGCCAGAAGTAAAACTAAAAGATTTTATTAAAAATATACTATACTTAAATTTTCGGCCACATGCCGCAGCCTTCTTCAGAAATTAACTAACTAATACAAATAAGTCCAATATATAAGGAGAAAAACATGCATAATACATAATACAGATATAGCCTATTGTTGAGAAAAGTCATGAGTGCTATTCAAACCACCCAAATTAGTCAGTAACATTCCTATCCAAAAGTTCTCACACTTTCTTAAATCCTCTTTGTTTTGATCAATCAACATAAACTTCAATTTCAAATGCTTATTGTCATGCTTATCAATAAAATGGTTAACTACACCACATGTTCTACGACCATGTTTAATGTGGGACTTGTAATTAGCTAAACGGGGCTTAAAATTAATAGTAGAACCAATGCCCTGCAGATTACAAGCCACACACTCAGCTAGGTAAATAACATGCTCAGAGGTACACGTCAAAGTCTTACGAATCCTAAACTTTCTCCCCGTCACGGCTGACACAAACTCACCACCAGGTTTTAAGAAATGTTGACAACAATCACATCTCCTGGCAGTGCATTTAATACAACCTTGACCAACAGGCCCAATAATACGATAAGGGTTAGACGGGGCTAACAGCTCTTTCAAATTAGCACCCCTGGTATATGCTACTTGGATAGAATCCTTGGGAAGAATAGCGCTAGCACGCTCATCTGTGTCAATGATATCACGGTGTTTAGCCAAAATGCTGGCGATGTTGGGTGCGTGAGGATTGTATTTGGTTACAAATACACATTTCCCACCTCTAGATTTGGGTTTTTTATTTCGCGCTTCATGTCGAGTCATCGAACCCACTTCCTCAAATACCTGGTTAACATGAATACTATTATGACCACAATCTATCAGATACTTAGCGTATATTTTACTAATAGCAAAAAAATCACTATCCTCAGAACAAATACGTCTTAACCTAAGAGCTACACCTTTAGCTATACCCCGTATCTGAGACTTAGGATGCGATGACTGAGCGCTAAGGTATAAATGGGCATCAGTGGGCTTACTATAAATAGAAGTAACCAGTTTCCTATTAACAATAGTAATGAGTAGATCAAGAAAATGCAAACTGCGCCCTCCAATTTCCATAGTAAATTGTAATTGCTGATCGAATGTGTTTAGGACACTGAAAAAAGCGTTGAGACGTTCAACAGAACCACGCCAAAGTACAAAAGTATCATCACGGAATCGAAACCAACACCTAAGTTCAGAAAATGTGGAACGCGCCGTCAAAACTTGCTTATCTATATTTTCCGCCACAATATCAGCATACGAGCAAGAATTCTTGGGGCCCATAGCTGTACCGTTTTTTTGCAGCCAAAATTGCGAGCGAAAGGTCGAACAATTACTCTTAAGGCAAATTTCCAGAGCTTCCATAACACATTCAACCGGCACGTCAATCCTGTCAGCATATTCATTAAGCTTATGCCTAACTCTTTCCATCCCCGACTGATTATCTATCGAGGGAAACATATTAGTAATATCGAAACTGACTAACAAGTCACTCTCTTCCAATCCCTCAGAATTAAGGTCATCAATAATATTGAGCATATGCCTGGTATCCTGAACACGACAAGAAATAGTATCCATAACAACACTACAATATTTTTCAACAAATAAAGATAAATTCTCTGTAGGTGTACCACAACCAGATGTAATGACTCGTGCAGGATTACCAGGCTTATGCGTTTTTATCAACGGGTAGTTGATACCTGGACCAGACCTATCATTATCAGTGACAAATCTAATCCATTTATCAGACAAACCGCATGGTTTCCATTTTTTGGTCCAACTCAAAATTTCAGCACACGTTTCATCTGAAATGTCGTGGTCTAAAATCTGAAATGAACCCCTATCCATTTGCTCCTTAACCTTAACAGCGTCTATATCATTATCTATAAAGACAAAACTGTTACTTTTGTCTTGGATACGGATGATCAAATTACGTTCATCAATAGGTGTAGACCTAAATTTAGTTAGTGCTTCGCGTTCTTCAAGTGTTAAATTATCAGGCACATGATTCCGTCTAGCTGTATCAAATAAATCCTTTTCTACTCTATTTAAAATACCTCGATCGCTGGGACTCTACTAGATGGTGGTGGGTCTCTAGTCGATTAACACAAGGAGTCCCAAAGGATTTGCCACAAATACATTATTAGGATTATCAGGAGAATAAAAAAATGCCCGCCATCTTATTTTGCGCTTTAGATCTTGCCAGCTTTCTTGTAAACTATTCCAATCAACGCTTCTAGGAGTAGGCACGAACGATGGACCACGTTTACAGAGATTCACAAGTGCTTGTTCAACAGGTTTATCCGTAAGATTGACCGGTTCAACTTTCTGTGGTTCATCAACACAGTCTGTAGTCCCATGATTATCACTCACTAATACCTTTCTTTGTTGTATACCATCACGGTTATATTTACTCAAACGGCAACATGCATACCTGTCCGTAATATACCGAGTTCGTTCCTCTAGATGTACCTTGATCAAGTCTGCTTCCCCAGGATAAAATCTCTCAAGACCCAACAACAGTTCACGTTCTTCTTGCTTAACATTCCCCACATCGTATATATATATATTATAATATATATATATACGATGTGGGGGAAACTGATATACGGTACTTTTTCCAATGTCACCACCGGTGACAAATAATTGATAGACTCGAGTGGGTAACAAAATCAAAGACTATGTCACTAGATAAAAAATTCTAATACTAGAAGTTGTCTTCACGTCACATCACGTTCAAGATTTAGGCCATTTAATTTAAACTAACTATAAGAATGAGATATTAGCAGATCACAAAGAAGATGGTCCGCAAGATTAACATGTCTAGATTAAAAAAAAAACATTATCCGGTGGATAGCGCCTTATCCCAATTATTAAACAATGTATTTTGATCAATTCAGCAGATGAAAATAACGGACAATTGGGCGCCAATTTAACCGAGGATGTGTTGATGACAGGTAACGCTGTGAATTCAAGCAGTATATGATTTTTTACCTGTACCTAGAATTGGTTTGGTAAAATGCAGATGAATAGTATACAAGGACGTTCCATTCTGTTAGCAAAACACAATGCTATTATAATAATTCAGATACCGAATTTATAAGACACTATGCATTTAAAAACCCGAATTCAAGATAACAAACAATCGGAGAAGGCTCACCATGCCATTACGATGCCAAATTTATAAAACAATATCCATTGACCTGGTTATATTCTTATCAATTCCGCTGAAAATAACGAAATATAATTATATTCCATGATCGCCCCATAGTCCAGCACTACCGTTTTGCAGTTCTCTAGAATATACCCACCTAAAATTGGACAATAAGAGCCCACACAATTTGCGAAACAACCGATTACTAGTATATGTATAAAACAGCACATCTAAGATACCATGTTTTGTTAATCGAATTAATACGGTTGTTATAGATAACAATAACGAACAATTGGGCACTCATATTGGCGAGGATGTGATAATGACAGGTAAACCTTGAATTTAAATATCCTTCGTGGTGTGTTTTGCAATGATTAAAATACTTTCAACTATATTCATTTTATAGAACGAAGACACTGCATTGGTGTGCCGCTTACGCATGGCCATGCCGACCAATCAGCAGCAGGTAAGAAATAAGGTTTAGGCAGGAGTTATCGGTTGGAAAGAAAATCGAAGTTCAGGTTATACATAGGTTCTATATTGGTTCAAATACATATATAGGTTCTATATTTTTTTTAGTGATCTTTAAAATTTCTGCATTAGCGGACGATAAAACAGACTAAAATAGCCTGTCAATTAATACCGGCTGGAAAGTTTTAGGCTGAAAATCTTTGAACCTTTCGCTGTTAGGACATGTAATTGGTGATTTTTGTCATCTGCTATATGTTATTAGTGATAATATATATGAAACTCATCACTACAAATTAATTACCTTAGATATAACAGATGGAAACTGCCATGTCTGCTTTGGCACAGTGTCCGGTTCCCACATATGTATCGTATGTCATCGTTCTGTCCACGTATTCTGTGGTGAGGGGATCGGTGACGAAGGTTATGGACAAGCTGTGACATGTTACAAGTGTCTAGATAGAGGTAGATGATTAGATATTAATGTTATTATTCATCGTGTTTTATACTCATTTTAATTTTTAGAAATGCAAATGCAAATCTAAATATTAAATCTTACAAAAAAATCAACAGACGGCAAAAATGCGAATCAGCGGAAATTCATGCATTGGCAAAAAAAACCTTACTAACAAATTGACGTAGAAAGAAAGGGCATAATCCATAAGTGACAATGATATAGAGTGTGTTTTGCACATTGTTCAGCATTGCAATTGCTACATCGCCAAGAATCAAGATTAAAATATTTAAGTCCTCTGACCTTCTGTTACAGGAAAAAAACAAACGAAATACGCTGAAACGGAGTCGACAGATACATCTGGTTAGTGATATAAATATTTTAATATCTGTTGTAAATGCAAAGCTAACCAGACATGCACACACACCTGAAAAGAACATTCATACTCTTCATAGATTGTGTTAATAATATATATATATATATACGATGTGGGGAACAGACTCGAATCAAAGACTATGTCACTAGATAAAAATCAAAGACTATGACACTAGATAAAAAATTCTAATACTAGAAGTTGTCTTTACGTCACATCACGTTCAAGATTTAGGCCATTTAATTTAAACTAACTATAAGAATGAGATATTAGCAGATCACAAAGAAGATGCATGGTCCGCAAGATTAACATGTCTAGATTAAAATTCACACATTTTTGTATTGGTTGCCATATTTTAAACTGAAAAACATACAGCTACACATCTGTCATGGTTTCGAAGTGAACTTTATCATTGATCATACTTTCGATCTGAACATTATCACCAATAAGATCGTTAATAGGTTACATACCATTGCTGCTGTAATAGTCCAAATAACCCAGACCGTCTACAAAATCCAAAAAAAAAGCTGAAACAATATTAATGTTGATAATGTAGGGAAAATGCGAGGCCGATGTGCACATAATTTTTTAATCTTCTTTTGAATTTAGATAACCCACATAAAACAGCGCACAAGAGAGTTTCTAGACATAAGGTAACTATACCATAAAATTTTATTTTTAGGGCCACTATGCCAAAGATAGTTCCACACCAAATGTATATGTATTGCCAAGCACTTTATTGGGCTGTCTAGGCAACGTTGTAGTAAACATTTTCCATTACAAATTACAATTTATCAATTATTTTTCTTACGCAGGAAGAAAGTGACGAAGACTACTTGCCAAGCTCGGAGAGCGAAAATGAAGGTATAGAACGGACTGAACAGTGCAGACTGAACGCAGTATAGACATAGAAACACGAGGATTAAATCTCAGCTTGAAAATATGCATACATTAGGGCCCAGGAATATCTTTTTGTCCAAGCTCTTTTTAACAACTCCTAAGTACTGTGTATATATATATATATATATATATATATATATATATATATATATATATATATATATATATAGATACCGACAAATTAGAAAATGAATTCCATACCTTAGCACTGCCGTGTAATATACTTTGCAATGCAATTTTCTATTATATAGATAAAGATCCTGCCACATACAAAGACGAGTATGAATTTCAAGGTAAACTTCAACGATTCTAAATAAACTGATGACATTTCATGAATAAAAATATTATTATTTTTCCTAAATTTTGAGTAAAATATCTCTATATTGAATAATTCAATAATATATTGGGATCAGAAACGTATATATTTCCTATATGTTATAAAACGTATATATTCTGCATATATTACATTCATTATACTCTCTTATTAAAGTATCTCCTGCTTATTCCTGAAAGAATAACACTTAAAGTAATATATAATATATGAATATACTCATATATAATACTCACACAAAATTTGTTACCAGATTTTATAACAGCATTGCATTATATATTACATATATTTGAAAATATGGCTATTGAGAGAGTTCCTACTTGAATATGTTTTTGAAATAAAGTGAAATATTGATTTCACTGCAATAGTTTTGCCAAGTATATATATTAATTTAATTTAATTTATTAACTTTGCCAGGTATGTATCAGCAATATCAACATAAGTAAATGACACAAACAACTAGCAGGGAAATGCAACAACTTACGCCAATCTGAATGAAGGTACAGTACAAATACTAACAAATGTTATATATTTTAAATAGATACACACAACCGTCCACCAATTAAAGCCAGAAAACGTCTGAAGGTAAGCAAAGAAGTAGATCATACTTGGTTATCGATTGTGTGCGCTTCATGATATGCCAGTTGCATTATGCAAAAGTCAAATACCAGGCCAATTAATATCTGCTCAGTTACTGTACTTGAAGATTTATGTAGCTATACATCATTCATTGTTTACAGGAAAATAAGAACATACCAAAAGACTCCAGTGTCTGCGATGCCGATTCGATGAAAGAAATTGAAGAACATCCTGGTGAGAAACCATAGATATACTAATCAAAAGAAACATAGTTTGTATGCATGGTTATCTAAGAGTTTCTTATAGTGGTGTTTCTTTCTTGCTTTAAATTTTACTGTGACAACTAATTAATTTATTTCATTAGTATAAGGGGTTAAAAGGCACTTTCCCGTCTGAAAAATTATCTTTAAATTACTTACCATATTTGCATGAGCCTTTTATAATGGAAAATGTGATGTGAATTAATCCTGACCTATGATTTGTATATATTTTTAAATATGCAGATAACAACCTAAAGAAGCAAAAGAGAGAAAGAAAACAACCTGTAAGTAATTCATAAATTCTTATTACAATGAGGTCTGAGGGAATATTGATGTATGTCTGCAGGGATGGATCAAGTGTTATTTTGTGCTGATTGGACATGCATGCGGCATGCCAGATGCCAACTAGCATGGGTTGGCTTGATATTCAATGTTCAAATTAACAACCAGATTATAGCAGCAGTCATTGTTGTAATTTAGCCGCACAGTGATTTGCAAGTTGGTATAATTGCTGTAATTTGCGAAACAAAATATGACAAAACAATAATAAAATTATAATATGTAATTTCAGTTCAAAATTTGGACCTCAAAAACCGATGCTTCAAATAATGAAAACGGGTCAAAAGGCAAGTCTTTTTTTACATCACATATTACACATTCATCCTTATTCATTACTGATCGATATTCAAGATCAAGCTGCTTAAATTTTGCTTAATATATCAAGTGGGCTAAAATTTCTAAGCAAAATAATTCCTTGTCTGAGACTTTTCTGATAATGATTTCTATATAAAATTTAGTAAAAAACGTAGGTGTACTCTTATTAGTCTATATATATATATATATATATATATATATATATATATATATATATATATATATATATATATATATATATATAATTATATATATATATATCGTTTGCAAAATCTACCTCACGTCTTTTTTGAGTTTTGTTTAAATAAACCTTGCAAAGCATCGCCATCCTTGCAGATTATAACAACAGTGTCACCGACTCACCGTGCACACTTGCCTTGAATGCCTTCAGCAGACAAGCCGCATAATTATGCAGTGTTTCCACACCAAATTTTAAAAATCCCTTTCTTGGAGCCTTAAATTCGTTTTTTTGGGAGAAATTCCTTTCAGATACTGACGACCGATACTATCGACATTTATTTTGCGGGCATATGTATTATACATATAACAATTAACAATAATAACATAAAACGTTTATATGATGCTATATATATGCTAATACCTCCAACGATAAATGAAAACATTGTTTGTTAATTGTAATCGCCAGCGAAGTGAGTTGTGAAACTGTAAAACTGTCCCATAAAACACTGGGGACGGTTGTACGAAGCGGGCTGGATATCCGGCTTTCGTACAACCGGCCCCTGAACTATAACCCCGGTGCAAGCTGTATTAATCAGTCCCGCTAAGTTAGAGTTGGGCAAAATTGTGCATATTTGATATTTATTGACCTTATATTGCTATGTGGGTGTAGACAAATCGTGTTTTTGTTCTTGAAACAGCTCATATTAGGGAACCAACTTATGGTTTATACATTTTTTACTATTTTGCAAATATCCTTGTAATTTCCTTGCATAAGATCAGTTTTCCTTGTAAATTCCCTGTCTTTTTTAAATTCCTTGTATAATGTTGTGACGTAATTATCGACAGGGCCTATTAGCTACGTTTTTAATGCTGTTCATTCACCGAATAGTTAAGATGCGTGCCAAAAGTGTAGTTTAATGAATGAACTGTCGCAAACTGTTTTGAATCAAAAACTTATATGGAAAGATCCCTTTCGGTTTTCATTACGAAACAAATACTCTTTTCACATGCATGCATGGAGCGAGTTACAACTAATTTTTACTTCTACAATACAAGATGCAACCCCAAGAATATCTTACATGGAGAGTTATAACATTAATTTTGCTATAAAATATCTAGCAAATGCCCACTGTTATATACACTAGCTAGTTTGCATAAAATATTATTTATCACATTAACTCTATTTTCACAACCTATAAGGCTTTCCATTGCAATGGCATCGACGAGCTTTGCTTATGTTATGAGTGCTTTATTTTCAAATAAGGCATGTGATGTATTTTTAAATTGGTTTTGTGTTTTTTGCAGTTTATGTACAGCCTATAATGGCAGCAGCGGGGAAAAGAGCATACGATAAAAAAAATTGCTGCTTCTTCTGCTCCAAAGAATTTTCCAAGTTGGCAAGACATTTGGAGCAGAAACACAAAGATGAGGAAGAAGTCGCTGCTGCGCTAAAGTTCCCCCCCTCCGACAAACGCAGAAAAGACCTCTTCGCTAAGCTGAGGAAGATGGGGAACTTTAATCATAATATTAAAGTCATCGAAAACGGGAAGGTGAACTAAAGGTATAATTGTTTTGTCTATTTTAAGCTCGTCGCAGACGTAAGCTTACTAAGCTATAAGGGACCTTCATCAATAGGGGGGAGGGTGTATATTTATATACTCGTCTTATGCCCGTCTGATTTATTTTTTATGCATGCTATTGTTCCTACGGTATATAACCCCCCCCCCCCCAATTAAGCTACGGCCCTAAAGAAAGGTAAGAGATTTTCAGTTTAACTAGGAAAATGGAGAAGAATACAACACAAGCCTATGGGGACTCAACTTTGTCCTCTTAACCTCTTACAACAACATTTCAATTCGACAGAAGAAGAACGATAAATTTCCTTTTTAGGTTGATCGAAGACCAGCAGAAGGAACTGACCCGAAACAATACTTACCGTGCACAGGATGTAATGGGTTTTTCCTCGCACATGAACTCACAAGACATGCTGCAACATGCTTGCGATCAGATGAGCCGGCCGGTGGGAAAGTAAAGCCATCGGTCAAGCGTATGCAATTTGATGGCAAGTTGCTATTAGCTGGAGGCGGAGCCAGTGAGTGCAGCAAACAGCTGCAAAGCATATTAAAAATCATGGCTCGTGATGACATTTCCGCGGTCGCCCAGGCAGATCCTACAATCCTCGCCGTCGGCAGTGACATGGTTGAACAAAAAGGGAAAGAGAAAGCTATTGCAATCTCACAAAAGATGCGGTTGTTGGCACGGGTTTTGGTGGAGATGAGAAGGCTAACTGGTAAAAGCGATGCCTCCTTATCTACGATTATAACCCCTTTGTATTTTGACATGCTCTTACAGTGTGCAAAAAACCTTGGGGGTTATGTCGTAGATGAGGATGGCTCTAAAAGTTTTAAGAGTCCCTCCACCTCCGTCAAATGTGGATACGCAACGATGACGGCAGCGAAGATCTTGCGGGGGAAAGCACTTAGAGATTGTGACATGGGAAGGAAAAAGGAGCTCGACAACTTTTTGGAGTTGTACGAGACGGAATGGGGGAAAAAAATCACGTCACCGGCCCATGACAATCTCGGCCTGAAAAAAACGAACAAGCCCGACGTCTTGCCACTCACGAGTGATCTAATGAAGCTTCGTGACTACCTCCTGGAGGCCATAAAAAAGGGGACAGAAAACCTCAGAAGAGACCGAAACAAAGAGAACTTTCGGGTTTTATCGGAAGTATGCTTGGCGAGGTTAATAATGTTCAACAAGAGAAGAGGTAATATTCTTTTAGTTTTGCATCGTGAATAACAATATAAATAAGTTTGCTTGTAGGTACACCAAGTAAATTTTTTACTGCTGCAAAGTTAAGAGAATACATCTGTATTATGGTGATCTTAAAAACAAAACTACTAGCAATTAATAGACGAAAAACGATCATATTTTAGTGTTCATGAACTGTGAAATCAATTTATTGGCATGCAGGCACTTCAGAAGATAAAATCATACTTTAAAATTTTAGTAAAAATGGCAATGGACGACGAAAGAAAAAATCGTGATTTTCGTCAATTTATAGAAATTTTAAAAGCAGGTTCTAAGTGCCAGAACATACAACATATTCAACAGTTAAAAAACGTCTCGTTTTGTAATAAAACAGGGGGAGAGACCGCAAGAATGAAACTGAAGGCGTACCAATCGCGATGTAATTGGAGAGAACATCAAAACCAAGAGGTGTTCCAATCACTCTCGGTTTCGGAAAAGCAGCTTTGCGAAAAGTATGTTATTATTCATTCGCATTTATTCACCGTCATTCTCTTGACCTATACTTGTCGTTTCAAACAACGCCAATGTTTTATACCATGCCACATTTCACATACATATTTTTCCTATATTCACATTCAGCCTTGCTATATATAGTCTCAGAAGTCGGAGTTCAAGGCTAAGTTCAATTTCTGTGGAATTGGCAAGGGCGTAGGTTTTAGTGTAATTTCTAATAGAAGACGAAAACTTCTATCAAACAACAAACCGCCATTCAAACATAATTCATTAGATTTATAGATAAAAATCTGAAGACGCGTACACTAAAATTAATCTATAAATTTATGATGCTTATTTCAGCTATACTTTCATGAGGTAATAAACATTCTGAAATTCGAAAATTTTTCATAAAGTATATAACGGACTTCGTGAAATAAACTGTTTATCAAGAGCTTTACTCCCTATACTCACACTAACATTTTTGTTGGAAACAGTGGGTTGGATTTTTTTACCCTTTTCGGCAAATAGGGAGATATATGTACAGCTTTTTATTCAGAATTATTTGGATTTTAAGGTTTGACATGGTTGAGATCATTGGAAAGCGAAACAGGAAGGTTCCGGTCATCTTGACACCGGACGTCGCAGATGCGATGTTGATGCTGACCGATCCTTCCTACCGAGAGAAAGGTTGCGTGCTGCGGGAAAACGAATACGTTTTCCCCATGAATAACAACTCATCGCTGCACAGCCTGAGAGGAAATGACGTCCTCAGAAACGCGTGCAAGAATGCAAATTTGGAGAACGATAGCTTGGTAACGTCGACCAGTATGCGCAAGTATGTTGCAACGGTATCGCAACTGGTCGACATGAACGAGACCGAAATGGGTTGGCTTGCCGAGCATATGGGCCACGATCTCCATATCCATAAGGAGTATTATCGTCTGCCACAAAACACTCTTGAAATTGCTGTGGTTGGCAATTTGCTCCTGGCAATCGATGAGGGAAGGGCCCACAAGTTCAAGGGGCGAAATTTACGAGACATCAACATCCAAGGTACCAGTCCATGCGTTCTGTAAAACAGACAGCATATATCAAAAGTCACAAAATAAAAAGGATGGCGAAATAAAACGCACTACGGCACAAGACTATACACTTGTTTTTTTTTCTTTACAGAGTTTGAAAATTTCGCGTGCGAAGAGGACGATGAGGCTGCAAACAACCTTGGTAATGATGAATCATGAATTATTTCTTTTAATGTATAAGCAATATTAAAATATTCATAGGTTTGTATAGCTAAATTAATAGCTATTATAATCTATATTATTAGCGCAGCATATTTTTCAATGGACTTACATATCAATTTATATCTATAGATCAATTTTGTCATTTTCGGAAAGAGAATACAAAAATTATATTGTTATAATACTGCTAAGTTTGGCTGCGAAACGTTGTAAAGTAAGGAAAATATAGCCATTCGAAGTTGGCAAATTTTGTATACTTTTCTATTGCAGCTGGAAGTGTGTAAATAATTTTAATTGCATATCTTTATTAAGCCAGAGAAAACAGTTTTATATATACTTCCGTTGCATGCAATAATGCATGACTTCCGTTTTTGACATCGCTCTTTATTTTCATTTTTATTTTAAAATCAGCCTATCAATTAATGATCAAAATAATACATTTAGTGGTGTAGTTAGCCCGCCTATATTTAGTCATGCTGTGCAAATATTTTGGCATCGACTGTGGAAATAATGATTGCCATGCAGGGTAACTACCACAATTAATGTTTAATTATAACTTCTAAACTAGTCATCGCAGTAAGGGACATCCCTTGAAGTAATCCAACCAACTGATATCAAAGACAACTGCAAACACCCACAATTTGCTGTTGACTGCTTAACCTTGACCTGAACTGTATGCGTCTTTCAAATGTAGGTTTTACTGAATGTTCATCCAAGACGAAGTCGAAGCTGGCTTCAAAAACACAAGGTAGTTTTATAAACATCCCAACTGAACATAAATATTTGCATGGAATAACTTCTTAGTGATATAACAAGTGTAATATTAAAAGTGTAATTATGGTTATATAATTTATCCGGTATTGATATAAAAACATTTTGCTTTAGAAAACACTGATCTGCCTACTTCTTCCATCACATCGCGCAATACTCCTAGTAAGTAACAAAATGAAATCTATACACCTGCATGACTAGCATGCTACAATAATTAGGGAATATAGGGTTGCGTATTCATATATCCGTTCTAAAGCAGAACAAGATATATGAAGCTAACTGGTTCTCATAGGTCACCGACAATTGCCGACTGTTACAGCGGTGACGTATGGGAAAAAGGACCTATATTTAAATTATTTTTTCATCCTCGTCTTGACTGTACGTTTTTAAATGTAGGCAGCTGTGCATCAACATCGAAGCAAGGATCATCAAAGACGAAAGGTATATTTTTAATTTCATCAAAACACAAATCCAGCTCACATTAGTAACCAAATGAGATCTGTCGGTTGCGCAACTGCGTGAAAACTATAGGATGTGTCAAAAAGACCGTTTTAACCTTCAACCGTACGGTCGCTTTCGGCTAGAACTAATATGTGTGGAAAACGGCCCTTAAAATACGGCTTAAAAATCGTAGCGAAGCATAGCGTATATTTGCAGTTTGCATGCAAAGAAAAGCAACGAAAGAAGTTTTGCATATATTCATAATTCATAGAGAACAATACAATAGAACAATGAAACCATAAAATAAGCCAATCGACACCTTTTGTGTGCTTGGGGTGAAACCCTAATTAACTAAACTTTTCGTTTAATTCTCGCATTCTTTATATATTTTTGAAGAAAAAATATCTAGGGTCAATTATCATGCAGTAATGGACAGTTATTCACTTAAATGTCACTGCTAAGGCTAATAAATTTGAAAAAAGGAATTTTTAACATTACTCGAACTCTTGATACGAATAATGCAGAATACGTTAATTAAACTGACATATCGGTCTGAAACAAAAAACACTCTATTTGCTCTCCAGTTAGTTGTGACTTCCAGATCATCGTTTGTAGTTACACAGCTGTACGAACATACAACGTACATAGTTTTTAATGTAGATTTCAATTTTTTTTGTTTGGAAATGTTCAGCAATTGCTGCTTCTAGCGCGTAAATTACTACATTATTTCCATTGCAAACTTTCGTTGTTGGATTAAAGGGTGATGATTAATTACAGGCTATTCAAGGCGTACACGTTTATACAATTATATAGATGGTTACACTCATTTTTTTTGGTACCCCTCCCAATGACTAGTTAATTTGTTTCGGAACCCCCAAAGGTTTAATAGTTTGTTTCATACCCCCCAACTTATCCTCCACCTTCCCGCTATAACACATACCTTATGACCGGTCCCTTAGACTTGTGAAATGACTGTAATTACAAAATATGTACATATGTTAATAGATTTTTTGGCTAATTTTCAAATCGAACTTCTGATTTCATCATTCATATAACTCTATACCAATGATTGTCCAAGGATCAAATCGACCGTATACCATACATTAATTTTTTGTTAGCCATTTTGTAAAAATAATAGTAGTTTCGAGCTCTATCTACATCTACATTACTATTATAATCTACATTACTATTATATAATACATATGATCCTTGTTGATCTGCATCGTAATCTTTCTTTATAGAAAGAGCTGACGATAAAATTAGCACCGTCTCCTCGCCGAAGACTCCGAGTAAGATGCAAGACAGTATTTTGGAATTTTTTGGAATGATTATTACTGATTTTATTACTGATTAAATTTCCGTTTTTGTTATCCTAGTTGCAAAAACTAAGAAAGGCAGAGCGCCACAAAAGCTGGTGAAATGGACAACGCCAGAACGTAGGCTAGTCATGCGCTCATTCGACAGGCATATAAAGAACATGGAATTGCCGAAAAAAAAAGAATGCGTGCAGTTTCTCGCAGAGCACCAAGATGTCATGGCAAGGCGAAGTTGGAAAAATATAAAAGATTTCGTTAGAAATCAGGAACAAAAAATGGGTGATCGTCTTTGAATTACGCAATATTTAATTCATTAACTCGTAATAGATTCCATGCATATAATTACGTTAAACACTTTTGCATGACCACACTGGCATTCCCTGCGAGAATTATCAAGCAAAAATGGCTCTAAATTAACTTGTAGGTAAAGTCGCCATATAATCGTACAAGAAAATTAAAAAAGTCTTGCAAAGAATGCTGGTCTTTGGGTCACGCAGAAGCCTTGGTGTCTTATGTATAAGATCTTTTGATCTGAAACTAAACGAGTTTCGATATTTGCTTACAAAGAGACTTTTGAAACTATATACTCAATAGTGACAGTGACGATGTCACTATATACAGACTTCAATTTACAAATTGGGTTGTGGTGTTCGCAAAATGTGCAGAAACCGCTTTATAAGCAAACGTTAATTCAGTTAATTTGCCCCACGACCAAATAAGGAACTCTGCAAATAGCATGCAGTATCATGTAAACATGTCTAACAAACTAAAGCCTGATTTTTATCAATCATTGAAAGTTGGCGACAACTATATATTGCCTTTTTATTATAACTTTCTTGGTTATTTTGAATAATTTTTCTTTGTCATGCACGAGCGATTATTTAATACTTATTTACAGATATCGTGTTTTGTTGACCCGAGAACGTACCCATGCATGCATGCACTGTATTAACGAAGTGTCTTTAAATAAGTGATTTGTTATTATATCTACAGGGTGTCCCAAAAAAAACGAAAACTATTGAAATCACCCATAACAATGTAATTGTTAGAGTTTGAATGCCTAAGCACTCTGTTGGGACCCACAAGTGTGTAAATGTTTGCCATAAGCATTTTTATGCATGCATATGATGCAGTAAAATTTGCTCGTACGCGAAAATGATATTTATTAACGTTATTTAAATGTGCATCTCAATCACCATGACCTTCGACATGTCCCCTTTCTGTAGCAACACAAAGCATTTAGCATTTTACTGAGTTGCATTAAATCCCCATGGGCTAAAATTCGTGCACGTGATTTCAATAGTTTTCGTTTTTTTTGGGACACCCTGTAGTGTCAAAATGAAGACTGGAAATGGCAAAAAGTTTAACAAATTCTTAAACCATAAGTTTTGAATACAAGACCAAATTGTCATTCTCAATTCTGATGATTTATTTAAACTGTAATCATTCAGGAAAATTATGAATTGCCCGCTCGTGTTGATAACGCATAATGATGGAGATTTGAAGCCCGCCACGCGTTGACCTCTTGTCCAGTAGGAAACAAGAAAGCTTAATTTTGACACTATAGATGTGTAACAACAATACATGTCGGTGATCAATGAGAATCAGGCTTAAGTGAGCAAAATGCACAAGGTGAAATTTGGGAAGTTATTAATGTAATTTGTCTATAAATTAACGTAGTTACAGCAAAAAATGAGTCATCCAAATTCATATCGCAGGGTGCATGTGTCAGTTATATAAGTTTTGTACAACATAATTTTTTATGTCTTCGAAGTAAAAGCTTGCGATGACTTTCAGAACTTTATATATGCTATATGTTTTCAATTAACACCTTATATGTTATAATTATGTTGTAACACCTTATATGTTATAATGTTATAATTATACTGTTGTAATACAAAGGTTATAAAGGTTGGATAATCCAATAAAAATTTCAGTATCGTTTAAAAATGATATTATTTTTTATTCATTTCTGTCACATGGTCCACAATGTATATACACTGGCGGTCAAAAAGAACTGCTCAAAACAAGTTAAAATGCTCTCAAATGAACGTAACTGTCCCTCTAACAATACATACGAGTAAATATAGACTAGATTACATGCTAAGCTGTATGAAATATTAATATTTTGTTGACCCTCTTTTGGCCTCATAATTGAATACGGCCTTACACCGGCGTGGCATACTTTTTGTTAAGGTGGCAATCTTGAGCAGTCAAAAGAAATTCATCCTATGGAAGTCTTTACAGCAACCCATAAATCATGGACGCTTTATGAATTAATTCCTTTCTTGCACTATCCCCTTGACATTGTCCCAGAGGTTTTTAATTGGGTTAAGGTATTTTGACTGTGCAGGCCAATCAATTTCTGTCACACCCTCTTCCCATAAAACCATTGTCTGACTATCTTGGAAGTGTGGCAGGTTGCATGACATTACTGAAATATTGCTTGGAGTAAGAGATTTATCCAAAATGCCTATGACGCTCTCTCCTATATTCGCTTCTTCTTTATGAATTTGTATCTAAACAGTTCTTTTTGACCGCTAGTGTACAATAAAAGATAGATTGTTACGATTCCTGTTACATACGACAGTAGCAACATTTGAGCAGTTCTTTTTGACCGCCAGCTAGTGTGTTTGTAAATGATTGAGTCTTTAGTTATCACGCATGTGTTGAGGAAAGCTCTTTTTCACTTTATCTTTAAACATAGGCCATGCCTAATGGGAGTAAAAAAATAATGCAATTCGTTTCATTTATAGTTGCTCTAATTTAAAAAACAAGGAAGTTGTGACGTAGTTATTAGGCTGATTAAGCTTTTCATATTTGCATGGTATTTACCTCAAAGAAGACGTAAAGGTGGGAATAAATGACGTATATATACGGCAAGCTACGCTATTCATTCGTCATCTTCAGGGACGGCAAAGGTCGTTATAAGTGGCTGTGGGGGCTAAAAATGCTTAACGTGAATGTATGAATATTAATTAAATAATAAACTAATAATGTTTAACGTGGATATATGGATACTAGCCCCCTTAACTTAACAACCTTTCCCCACCCTTGAATCGTTGACGTCTTTATATATAAATTATATGCTAAATGTGCCTATTAAAAGGGTCTTTTGAGCTCTTTCACTGAGTGACGTCATACTTCTATTTTTTTCTGACAATTATTGGGTGTGGCAAGCCACAATGCCCTTAATTAAAGGCAAAAAAATATAAAATGAGAAAATGGTAAACTAAGATGCAGAGATCAGTTGCAGTACGGCAGCTTAATAACCGTTTCGCCTTTCAAAAAACGTTTTTTGACGCTCATGTATTAAAATCTATTTACCGTTCCCTTTTCATCCCACTCAGAATAGATCAAATGAGTGACGTCGCCGAATCAACATATGACTATATGACTATGTTTTTGCCTCCCAAGCGTTATCACGTAATAAGTTATAATAATAATATTAATTAATAATCAAGTTTATCTAATGAGGGTAACACATAACAGTTTAACACTAACAAAACAGTGGCCCTTTTAAAATCTAAAGTAGATTACAATAAATCTATACCATGAAATTATATAAAATTACAATATATATGTACATGAATATCAAATCAGGAAAGTTAATAACTAATTACTAATTAATAACTAATAACTGATTAACAAGATTTTTCAGGGGTGAACTTACAGATGAATTTATCTTAAGATAACATGGAACTAATCACGCCTATATGGAAATCCCTTCCATCATGGAAGGGATTTCCATATAGGCGTGATATCGACACTGCAAATGAGCGACCATCTTCGGTTTCTCGAGAAAAACGTGGGAAACCAAATTGTTTGAACCATGCCTACTTTCTCTATTATGAATATCCATATACATATTTGTCCATATCGTTTGAAAACTATAATAAAATTCATTTGTTCATTTTGGTCTCGCAATAAAAAGGAATCCAATTTGGTGTCTTAAAAATTTCAACACTGTTTGCTCTTGTATCATATCCCAAGATCACACACGCGGCCCGTTTTGAAGCTTAAACACTTTATTTATGTTTTCTGATGAGCAAGAAGTCCACACAATTGATCCGTATAACATGGTTTGTTGTATAGCATCACACTAATATATACGATCACTAACAGGTAAATATATCGTCGAATTTTACTGGGTATGTTGTTGGTCAACCGTATGGTACCTTGCATTGTAAGCTCAATCAAGAGATAAGTATCTGAGTTTCTTGTTTAGAATTAGCGGTAACCAGCGGACATTTCGTTCATGCGGAAACATTATCAAGGTGCATCTTTGACATCGGAAGAATAACTAACTTAGTGTTGCTGAGGGCACATCATTCATGAAAAGAGCCGGGGGAACAAAAGCGGTCCTAAAATGCTCTTTTGCAGTACGCCAGAGGCAACAATCCGGGAGGAAGAACGATTTCCATTGATATCGACGTATCCCAGACGGTCATGTAGATAATCGGGAATAAGATTGAGTTCATTTCCGCGTGCACCCCGTATTCTTCAAGTTTTTCCATATCTCCTTATTTGGTATATAGTATGTTAGCTACAAGTTTCATTAACATGCAAATAATGGTTACTATGCATACTCGATAAAAAATAACGTCATTCGTATTTAAGTAGGCCGACATTTTTCGTCCCAAACGGGTTTCCAAAAAGACATTTTCGTCGCATACAAGGTTTTGGACCCACTTTTTACACTAACTTTCCCAGAGCTAGTGTCACTCCTCCCGCACCCCAGTGCGCGTCTCTGGTTTTATTGCTTCAAAATTAACGCCAGTATTTCAATGTTAAGAGTGGCCCACACACACTGGACGCACTTCACTAACACAACGCGAATTTTTTATTTTAAGAAACAAGTAAATTAAATTCTTGCGAGATATGGGTACCAGACCAGTCAAAATGCACATTTAATCGGTAATTATCAAGAAATATCAGAACATGGTTAAAATTAGCAGCTTTTGAAAACTAAAAAATTCGTAAAAATCGCATCGCGTTAGCGAATCGTGTCCAGTGTGTGTCGGCCTTTGAACACTTATCATTCCTATTGATTTTGATATTTGATTTTGACGCCCCACCGGCATTTCGGCGCCACTCTTAAAATCGTCGCAGACCTAGGGGCAGGGACAGGGGTCCCGCACTTCCCCTGCCACCACGCCCCTGCCCAGTAGATGACATGTCTGCCCAGTATAGGCTACATGTGTGATCTATTTCGAAGCGTTTATGAATTCACTGATAAACCAAGCTTTTGCTTTGTTGCTAATAAAAATGGGGCAAACTATGGAATCAGACACCTAATGAGAAAAGGAGCTCATTTTACAAATCTTTTCTCGACCTTTGATATCACTTCCTAAATATCGTTAAATTTGTATGTAAGTAATATAATAATAGTAATGCCCGTATTTAATGCTTAACGCTCATAACGTCTTTAACGCAGGTAACTCTAATAATATACCTCATAACATAACCTAATTTACAATTCGAAGCCTAACCAAAATTTTTCTTCAGCGCATTGTATACCACAGTACCTGTGACAGAGATGGCAGAACATATATTTTAATTTCCAAACCAATTATTAAAATTGGCAGTTCAAAATATGAACGGTGTCCATATATAGTCTATATATTCCCTGTTTGTGCGCAGAAAACTTAAAAGTAGGGACTTTAGCGTGAAATAAAATAATTTTACATTTACAATATGGTCACAATGAACAGGATCTTTTTTTAGCATGTTAACAGAAACCGCGGAGCAGGGTGGCTCGCTGGGCTTTAGCCCCACCAATAATTTTTCCGTAATTGGTCTTTAATTTCGAATATTTTTTAGTTCGCTCAAATTTACAAGCAATATTCTTAGCAATTTATACTTTCTGCTTGCATGCAAGCATATGCAGTGTATCTTATCATGAATACTATCGTTCGAAGCTTTTACTTTTTCAACGTATAATCTTAATAACCAAATTCAAATTAAGAAATCAGTATTCTAATTTCCAACGATATCTGTCGTAATGAATCCGCTATGAAATTAGTTATGTTCATAACATATGTTTGGCCAAACATATGTAAAAAAAACAGACGGAAAAAAAAGACGAGCATGCATTTGACCATTAAAACAGCGTACGTGGTTATCCATGTCAAAATATTTTACATAATAACCAAAGCATGCATGTTATATTTTTGGTATATTCGACCGTGGTCGAGTATACCGTTTTCCGGCCATATTCGATGCTTGCATGCAAGTTGCAGCTTTATATATATATATATATAGATGTTTGTATATGAGCACCAAACATGTTTGAAACTTTACATAGGACCAGCATAAAACAGTGTGCCTATCCATGATACATTCCGGCACATTCGACCATTGTCAAGTATACCGTTTTTCGGCCATATTCGATGTTTGGAAGTTGCAACTTTATATAAATGTTTGTATATGAGCACCAAACATGCTTGAAACTTTACATAGCACCAGAATTAGACCATTTAACCTGCATGGTTATCCATGTCAAAATATTTGACATCATAATCTAAGCATGGTTATATTGTTATATGTTGTATATCACCACAAAATAGGAACATGAAGTATATATTGACCACTAAAACAGCGTGGCCAGAATTAAATCATGGTCGAGTATGCAGTTTTCCGGTATATTCGACCATGCTCGAGTATGCCGTTTCCGCTTGTATACTCGACCATGGTCGAGTGTACCGTTTCCCAGTATATTCGACCATGGTCGAGTGTACCGTTTCCCGTTACCGTTTTCCGTGAAACTTTACATAGGTCTGTCTGTCATCACTCTGCCTGTCATAGCACCAGAATTAATATTAGACCATTTAACCTGCGTGGTTATCCATGCATAACAAAATATTTGACATCATAACCAAAGCAAGGTAATATTGTTTAATGTTTGTATATGAGCCCAAACATGCTGGAAATTTACATATAGGACCAGCATTTGACCATTAAAACAGCGTGGTTACTCTCATAATTTAATAACATGCGAGAAGCCAACAACTACAGCGTCATAGCCAAACTTGCAAGAAGAGCCTCATTCGTTGTTTATATTGTTTAATTAATGTTTGTATATAAGCGCCAAACATGCTGGATATTTTATATAGAACAAGCATTTGACCTTTAAAACAGCGTGGTTTATTATAAGGACCGCGAAGCAGGGTGGTTTGCTGGGCTTTAACCGCGGCAATAATTTTTCCGTAATTAGGCTTTAATTTTGAATATTTTTTAGTTCGCCCAAATTTACAAGCAATATTTTTTAGCAATTTGTATTTTTTGCTTACATGCAAGTATACGCTGTGTATCTTATCTTGAATACTATCGTAATTTTTACTTCTTCAACGTATAATATAATTTTAATAACCAATTCAAAGAAAAAGGGTATTCTAATTTCCAGCAATATCTGTCGTAATAATGGATTGAAATTAGTTATGTTCAGTACATATAAAAAAAAACAGAGACAAAAAAGGACAAGCATGCATTTGACCAATAAAACAGCGTGGTCATCCTTTTCAGACCATGGGGGAGTATACCTTTTTCCGGCGGCCATATTCGATGTTTGCAAGTTGCAACTTTATATAAATGTTTGTATAATATATGAGCACCAAACATGCTTGAAACTTTACATAGCACCAGAATTAGACCATTAAACCTGCGTGGTTATCCATATCAAAATATTTAACATCATATAAGCATGGTTATATTAATTATAATAACTTGTAGGTACACCACGTAAGTATTAAATACTGCAAAGCTTTCGGTCCGTTAACCCGGACCTTCATCAGTGCAATTACTTGAATACTTGCAATTACGTGTATTCAAGTAATTGCACTGATGAAGGTCCGGGTTAACGGACCGAAAGCTTTGCAGTATTTAATACTTACGTGGTGTACCTACAAGTTATTATAATTACTAAAGTCGCCATGCAATCATACAAGAAAATTATCATGGTTATATTGTTTAATGTTTGAATATGAGTGCCAAACATGCTGGAAACTTTAAAATAATCCTAAAATTGCGAGGCATTTGCGGCCATTTCAGAGGCCTAGGTATATTTCAAAATTTTCGCGGACTCTCCTGGCAGGTGCGCGGTTCAGAGCCCCAGCAATACGAGAAACGCTCCGCGGTCCCTGAATGTAGCGAACGGGCAGCAATTTGACGACCAGGGGCCGGTTGTATAAAAATGTAGTTAACTCTTAATCATAGTTAGTGACAGAATTGACCAATCAGAGTACTGTATTTCTGCTTGAGTTAACTACGAGTTTTATACAACTGGGGCAGGTTGTATCAAACCCGTTCAGCTTAAACGGTGGTTAAGTTCAAAATAGAAAGCAAGTCTATCGTTTTACTCAACAAGCGAACTAAATGTTTTTACCCCTTAATACAAAGATACTGTTTACAACTACGTATTTAGTGCATAATATTCAATTTCACTCATTCAAGAGAGATGTAAGAGTGTTATTTAATTTTGACTTATTCACCGTTTAAGCTAAACAGGTTTGATACAACCGGCCCCAGGCCCATAGTTATTACTTGTTTACGCTATAAATTCGTCATGTATTATAGGGGAGACGAAGTTCTTTAGGTTTGCTGCCGTAGCTAACGAACCTGATGCGAGCGAGAGATCCTAATTAATTTTTATATTGTGAGTAAAAGCCGGTCCAGATTTCCCTGACGCATTGTATTAGGGTGATTTTTTCGAAAACTTGAAACTTTGAAATTATGATTTTTTACTACTCTCTCATAACCGGCTGATTTTCATCAAATTTTTCATTTATGGAGGTTAATGTTTATTTCTTTTAGAGCAATTAAGAAGAAAAATGAAGATAAATTATCGAGAATCAGATTACTAAATTTGTGAAAGTAACAGTGAAACTCCTTTTCCATTCAGTGCAAAATGTCGCGCGATTGAGTTTTTGCGGTAGCATTGAAATATGTTCGCACATGAAATATATATGTTCAATTAAGCTGGTTTTCCACCAGCGAAGCGACTTTATTCTTTTGTTTTGAGCAATTTGTTCCAGATGGTTGCGGTTGAGCGCTGTGGAACAAAAGTAAAATGTCGTTTCGCGTGAAAATAACGCTAGTGCAGGGAAGACTGGCTTTAAGGCAGGGCCTCTTTTAACTATATAACTGGGGGGGGGGGGGCGAATGCTCCCCCCAGCCGGGGTCCCCCGGCCCCACTGCAACCCCCCTCTTTGTCCATGCCCCCCCATTGACGCTTTCTTAAAAGAGGCCCTGCTTTAAGGTGGATTTCCACTTACAGAGAAATAGTTCACTAGCAAAATATTTGAATATTTCCTAACATTCCCTGGTTTAATTTCAAAAGAAAATTTGAAAATATTTCGCTGGCAAACCATTTCTCTGTAAGTGAAAATGCAGCCTTAAGCCTGTTTTCCCTAATGACAGTTTCCAGCAACAACGCGGAATTTTGCTCGCGGAGCGGAATTTTTCTTTGCATGTTCACGATTTATTTTCCAAAAACAAAATCATTTGAGAAAAATAGAAAATATTCCAATCAACGTTTGCCTGGACTGAAAAGAGATGCAAGTAACGAAGGATACCAGGTCAGTAATCGATACCCATACCATGCTCGCTAGGATCGCACTAACTTCACTTTCTCGTGTTAACTTTGAATTGGCGGCTAAAAAACAATGAATTACATAATTGTTTGGGGCCAGGCTGGCTCCTATGATTGCGAATAAGAATTACCCCGGCAAAAGCGAGCTAGTCCGACAAAACCGGGCTTGCCCGTCTCATATGATCGGCCCCCTAGTCCAAATATATTTGTTGCCATTATGGTGGCAATCAAGAGCCAGAGAAAAAAATATATTACTACGCTGAGATTGCGCATAGTAAATTATAATAAAATTTATAATGAAACAATGTTAACAGCTGCCTATATACCCGAGTGCGTAGAAAGTAATTCTATTTTCCATAAATGTGTTATCAATTTTTCAGGGCAATTTTTTTCGGGGGGCATAAACTTCAGGGCCCCCCGTCATTTGACACCCTGACACCCTGTCATTACGCCACTGCAACCACAAGGCAATGAACGGGTAGTCTGCAAAAATTCATCCTCGTCTTCAAGGCCTTTTTGAATCGACGGCGACTCTCGTCGAGTGTTGAGTGGGGTTGAGTGACATCCAGAATCCAGTGGCAGTAATGACAGTGACATTTTGTGACATCCTTGCCTCCAGGTTTCGGCCGCGGCGCGCCGCTGGCGCTTCGGAGTTCGGCTCAGTGGTTCGACCTCGCGGCTTGCAAATAGAATGGCGGTTGTTTTTCTTCAGCAAATGTGAAATGTAAAGAAATATTTCCAGTACTATTTGGTATATGTTTAAGCCAAAAATCTCAAGTTATGCTTTAGTTGCTGGTTTATTGCCAGGTATGTTGTTATTTCTTGGTTGTTGAATAATTTACAACTATAAAATCCGACTTCATTTTAATAAGTATTTGCATGTTTGTGTTTTGAATATTCATGAAGTTAAGATATTATTTATGTGAAAAATGCTCGTTAATACCGTTGAGAATGTTTTTACACCACAGAAAACGACTTTAATATTAGGTGTTGCTGGTTCAATTTTATGGCAATGAAATTGTAGCTTTACTTCTAAAGTCTAAACAACTTTACTTTATACTTGAGTGGTATAAATAATTCTACATGTACATATATCACCTTTCATGTGCCTGAATTCTATATCATTCAAGAACATGTGCCACCTCTTCATGATCTAACCATGCAGCAGTAAGTTCAGTACAACATCAGATCACTTTAAGGTAGCTCTTAGCAAAGTTTTGAGTTTCAAGCTTGATTTGGTCAAAATGCTTACTTGTTACAAAAAGATTGCTTAGCTGTTCAGTTGGTCCATTCAGATGAACTAGATGGTAACTTGGTTGGTCAACCCAGGAAAATACTTACCTGATTTTACTAAATAAATTACCCTAGTTTCTAAAATAGTATGTGTATGCGAGCTCTCATAATCTGTACATGGAAGAAGAGAGGTAAAGAGTGTTCTTGAGAAATATATAAATATTTTAACACAAGATGCTGGTTTAAACTGATAGATTGAAGTAATGCCAATTCACTGTAAAGATATGTGCTTGTTAAATCAAAGAGAATTCTGTATAGTCTCCCTATTTTGGATGTTACATTCTTTATTTCCACCAGCTTTAATTTTAGCCATTTTTGCTGTCACTACTTTTTAACAATATTTTGGAATTTGTAAAGTCTTCAAATAAAACTATAATGATGAAAGGACTCCAACCAAATGTTAACATTCGCAAGCTGGAACTCATTAAGTTTGTTACCCATGTGCACAATTTATGGCTGATTCAGCAAGGGTTACGGCATAGAAAATGTTAAACAGCAAACTCTTACTTTTCTGGAAATTTCAATTAATTTCTAAAAATTTGTGATATGCTTTCTTGTAAAAGACCCAAGATCTGATTGTAATAGCACCTACATTTAATAATAAAGTCATTGAAAAGCATTACTGTTAATCAGCAAAATGTTTCTTTGTACATAGGTTTTGAATTATTCTCTGTTTTCTAGATTGACTGTTATGCAACATGCTCATACCTCTACTGCAAAATTGGTAAGTTATATATTTTCTTCTGTGTGCAAGAAGAACTTTTGTACCTGTAGTATGCTGAACGAGGTTGATGTTTATCAGGCTAGGATTTGTTGACTTAAGACGCACTGGAAGCAGTCAAGGGCAGGGGGGCAGCAACTCAAAAGAGGGCACTTTAAGGCCTGTTTACACTTGTTTCGCAACCACATCAGCGATCATAACTCGGATTATGTATAGTAAGACTGAAAAGATATACATGCAATGTCTATGAATATATAAAAGGCAAGCTGCCCCCATGAACAAAGGGCAGGGGGGGGGGCAGCTGCCCCATGGTTCCAGCACCTCTGGTTGATTTTATCTTTGCATAATACTAATTAAGTTGTTGATGTAGTTATACTAGAAATTCATGCATGAAGCACCCCTTGCCATTTTATAATATGGAATAGCAAGTTTATAATATTAAATGACTCAGTACTGGCAAAGCATCCATAGCAAATATTTTTATGATTTGGTGCAATATATAGTCATAAAATGTGTTTATATATTTGCTGCTGATTTAAAATATATACACTTATTTCCCCTAGAAATAGTCTGCCTATCAAAATTCTTGAGAGATTCTGTTTTAAAAGACACGGTAAAGTTTTAAGTGCGACAGAGTCCCTCCCTCATTGCTGCTACCGTGCTTTAAATGACTTTTAAATACGAAATGCAAGCATATTCTTTGTTTGGCTATATGACAAGCCAAGTGCGTGGCCATGCAAGTTTCTGACATGGACATATTTATTTTTCTTCTGGATAATATAATCATTTAACACAATTCTCTGTTACCTAGACTGACTGTTTCACAGCACATTCGTATACTTTTACAGCAAATCATTTTGGTAAGTTATTTTTCCTGTCTGTGTCTTTAACTCTTAGTTATATATATCTTTTTATAGTGACACTTTATAAACACAGCATAGGCAATATATTTGCTATTTAAGATGAAAAAATATCTATTTTACTCTAATGCTTTTGATTCCTAGGATATTAATTAGTGTTCAAATTCTGTCACCCCTTGATTGTTTGTTCTGAATCAAATGATGGTTGGTTTAGTGCATAAATTGTCTATTGCTGAGTCGTCCCCGTTTGCGACCAATTTTGTTAATCTGTAACTTTATTGTAACTCCATGCATGTTTCTAAAGCGAATTGCTGGCATCTTTTGAACGTTTCTTTGTGTTCTTCCATGCACGATTTTACTAGAAATGTATTCCCTTTATTTGACGATTTTCATTCTTTCGTTTAAATCCAATGCACCACATGGGGCACTGTGCAATAGACCTTTAGACACAAAAAAATACAAAAGAAGACAAAAAAAAATATGCAATGAGCAACGCATGAGCAACTTAAATAGAATTCAATAATGGAATTGGATATTGCAGGGAACATGATTTAAGTTCTTTGAAACTGTATACTGCGAGTTGCATGAGCAGAAGTTAAACTTATTTTGTCACAGACATCATGTTGGCTCATTAATGCATTGGGAGGGCACTGAAACATTGGATCTTTGGATCCTTAGGTTATATAACTCTGAACCCTTATATCTTAAAAGGGTGTAATCTCGCACCTACGCACCTAATGCACCTGTAAATAGTCTGCCTATCAAAATTCTTGAGAGTTCTTTTAAAAGACACAGTAAAGTTTTAAGTGCGACAGAGTCCCCTCATTGCTGCTACCGTGCTTTAAATGACTTTTAAATACAAAATGCAAGCATATTCTTATTTTAAGTGTATGACAAGCGAAGAACGTGGCAATGCAAGTTTCTGACATGGACATATTTGTTTTTCTTATGGATAATATAATCATTTAACACAATTCTCTGTTTCTTAGACTGACTGTTTCATAGCACATTTGTATACTTTTACAGCAAATCATTTTGGTAAGTTATTTTTCCTGTCTGTGTTTTAACTCTTAGTTTTTTATCTTTTTATGTGACACTTTATAAACACAGCATAGGCAATATATTTGCTATTTAAGATGGAATAATATCTATTTTACTCTTATGCTTTGGATTCCTAGGATATTAATTAGTGTTCAAATTCTGTCACCCCTTGATTGTTTGTTCTGAATCAAATGATGGTCGGTTCAGTGCATAAATTGTCTATTGCTGAGTCGTCCCCGTTTGCGACCAATTTTGTTGATCTGTAACTTTATTCTAACTCCATGCATGTTTCTAAAGCGAATTGCTGGCATCTTTTGAACGTTTCTTCGTGTTCTTCCATGCACCGTTTTACTAGAAATGTATTCCCTTTTTTTGACGATTTTCATTCTTTCGTTTAAATCCAATGCACCACATGGGGCACTGTGCAATATAGACCTTTAGACACAAAAAAATACAAAAAAGACAAAAAAATATGCAATGAGCAACGCATGAGCAACTTAAAATACTGTAGAATTCAATAATGCAATTGAATATTGCAGGGAACATGATTTAAGTTCTTTGAGTACTGTATACTACGAGTTGCATGAGCAGAAGTTAAAATTATTTTGCGACAGACGTGATGTTGGCTCATTAATGCATTGGGAGGGCACTTAAACTTTGGATCTTTGGATCCTTAGGTTATATAACTCTGAACCCTTATATATTGGAAGGGTGTAATCTCGCACCTACGCACCTAATGCACCTGTAAATAGTCTGCTTATCAAAATTCTTGTGAGATTCTGTTTTAAAAACACGATAAAGTTTTAAGTGCGATAGAGTCCCTCCCTCATTGCTGCTACTGTGCTTTAATGACTTTTAAATACAAAATGCAAGCATATTCTTATTTTGGCTATATGACAAGCCAAGTACGTGGCCATGCAAGTTTCTGACATGACATATTTATTTTTCTTCTGGATAATATAAGCATTTAACACAATTCTCTGTTTCCTAGACTGACTGTTTCACAGCACATTCGTATACTTTTACAGCAAATCATTTTGGTAAGTTATTTTTCCTGTGTCTGTGTTTTAACTCTTAGTTATTTATATCTTTTTATAGTGACACTTTATAAACACAGCATAGGCAATATATTTGCTATTTAAGATGGAATAATATCTATTTTACTCTTATGCTTTGGATTCCTAGGATATTAATTAGTGTTCAAATTCTGTCACCCCTTGATTGTTTGTTCTGAATCAAATGATGGTCGGTTCAGTGCATAAATTGTCTATTGCTTAGTCGTCCCGTTTGCGACCAATTTTTATCTGTAACTTTATTTAACTCCATGATGTTTCTAAACCGAATTGCTGGCATCTTTGAACGTTTCTTCGTGTTCTTCCATGCACCATTTTACTAGAAATGTATTCCCTTTTTTGACGATTTTCATTCTTTCGTTTAAATCCAATGCACCACACGGGGCACTGTGCAATAGACCTTTAGACACAAAAAAATACAAAAGAAGACAAAGAAAAAATATGCAATGCGCAACGCATGAGCAACTTAAAATACTGTAGAATTCAATAATGCAATGGGATATTGCAGGGAACATTATTTAAGTTCTTTGAGTACTGTATACTGCGAGTTGCATGAGCAGAAGTTAAAATTATTTTGCGAGAGACGTCATGTTGGCTCATTAATGCATTGGGAGGGCACTGAAACTTTGGATCTTTGGATCCTTAGGTTATATAACTCTTAACCCTTATATCTTGAAAGGGTGTAATCTCGTGCCTACGCACCTTAGTCACTTGTAAATAGTCTGCCTATCAAAATTCTGAGAGATTCGTTTTAAAAGACACGGTAAAGTTTTAAGTGCGACAGAGTCCCTCCCTCATTGCTGCTACTGTGCTTTAAATGACTTTTAAATACAAAATGCAAGCATACTCTTATTTTGGCTGTATGACAAGCGAAGAACGTGGTCATACAAGTTTCTGACATGGACATATTTGTTTTTCCTATGGATAATATAATCTTAACACAATTCTCTGTTTCTTAGACGACTGTTTCACAGCACATTCGTATACTTTTACAGCAAATCATTTTGGTAAGTTTTTTTCCTGTCTGTGTCTTTAACTCTTAGTTATTTTATCTTTTATTGACACTTTATAAACACAGCATAGGCAATATATTTGCTATTTAAGATGGAATAATATCTATTTTACTCTTATGCTTTGGATTCCTAGGATATTAATTAGTGTTCAAATTCTGTCACCCCTTGATTGTTTGTTCTGAATCAAATGATGGTCGGTTCAGTGCATAAATTGTCTATTGCTGAGTCGTGCCCGTTTGCGACCAATTTTGTAATTCTGTAACTTTATTGTAACTCCATGCATGTTTCTAAAGCGAATTGCTGGCATCTTTTGAACATTTCTTCGTGTTTTTCCATGCACCATATTATTAGAAATGTAACCCTTTATTTGACGATTTTCATTTTTTCGTTTAAATCCAATGCACCACATGGGGCACTGTGCAATAGACCTTTAGACACAAAAAAAATACAAAAGAAGACAAAGAAAAAATATGCAATGAGCAACGCATGAGCAACTTAGAACAGAATTCAATAATGCAATTGAATATTGCCGGGAACATGATTTAAGTTCTTTGAGTACTGTATACTGCGAGTTGCATGAGCAGAAGTTAAAATTATTTTGCCACAGACGTGATGTTGGCTCATTAATGCATTGGGAGGGCACTGAAACTTTATCTTTGGATCCTTAGGTTATATAACTCTGAACCCTTATATCTTGAAAGGGTGTAATCTCGCACCTACGCACCTAATGCACCTGTAAATAGTCTGCTTATCAAAATTCTTGTGAGATTCTGTTTTAAAAAACACGATAAAGTTTTAAGTGCGATAGAGTCCCTCCCTCATTGTTGCTACTGTGCTTTAGATGACTTTTAAATACAAAATGCAAGCATATTCTTATTTTGTATATGACAAGCCAAGTACGTGGCCATGCAAGTTTCTGACATGGACATATTTGTTTTTCCTATGGATAATATAATCACTTAACACAATTCTCTGTTTCTTAGACTGACTGTTTCACAGCAGATTCGTATACTTTTACAGCAAATCATTTTGGTAAGTTATTTTTCCTGTCTGTGTTTTAACGCTTAGTTATTTTTCTTTTTATTGTGACACTTTATAAACACAGCATAGGCAATATATTTGCTATTTAAGATGGAATAATATCTATTTTACTCTTATGCTTTGGATTCCTAGGATATTAATTAGTGTTCAAATTCTGTCACCCCTTGATTGTTTGTTCTGAATCAAATGATGGTCGGTTCAGTGCATAAATTGTCTATTGCTTAGTCGTCCCCGTTTGCGACCAATTTTGTTAGTCTGTAACTTAATTTTAACTCCATGCATGTTTCTAAACCGAATTGCTGGCATCTTTTGAACGTTTCTTCGTGTTCTTCCATGCACCATTTACTAGAAATGTACCCTTTTTGACGATTTTCTTTCGTTTAAATCCAATGCACACCACGGGCACTGTGCAATAGACCTTTAGACAAAAAAAATACAAAAAGACAAAAAATATGCAATGAGCAACGCATGAGCAACTTAAAATAGTAATTCAATAATGCAATGATATTGCAGGGAACATATTTAAGTTCTTTGATACTGTATACTGCGAGTTGCATGAGCAGAAGTTAAAATTTTTGCGAGAGACGTCATGTTGGCTCATTAATGCATTGGGAGGGCACTGAAACTTTGGATCTTTGGATCCTTAGGTTATATAACTTAACCCTTATATCTTGAAAGGGTGTAATCTCGCCTACGCACCTATCACTGTAAATAGTCTGCCTATCAAAATTCTTGAGAGATTCGTTTTAAAAACACGTAAAGTTTTAAGTGCGACAGAGTCCCTCCCTCATTGCTGCTACTGTGCTTTAAATGACTTTTAATACAAAATGCAAGCATATTCTTATTTGGCTGTATGACAAGCAAGTACGTGGCCATGCAAGTTTCTGACATGGACATATTTGTTTTTCCTATGGATAATATAATCACTTAACACAATTCTCTGTTTCTAGACGACTGTTTCACAGCACATTCGTATACTTTTACAGCAAATCATTTTGGTAAGTTATTTTTCCTGTCTGTGTCTTTAACTCTTAGTTATTTATATCTTTTTATAGTGACACTTAAATTTATAAACACAGCATAGGTAATATATTTGCTATTTAAGATGAAATAGTATCTATTTTACTCCTAACATCTTTTTCCCTGCAATATATTTTTTAGGATGGAACATGTGAGAAATCCTTTTGACCTTTGTTACATTGACCCATTTAAAAGATCACTATTAAGCAAACTTTGACTGAGAGTTTTTTAATGATGCATGTGGTAAGTTTATTACAATTTTTGTTAACATTTAACAAAATCTACTTGTCACTGTTACACTATGCAATTTTCTTGCAACTCTTAGTGCAATTATAGTTTTGAGGGATGTTAGATTGTAGCGAGTGTTCGAAATTTTAAAAAAGTTAGCAGGTCGTAATAAATGTTCGTATTTGACAACATTAGATGCCGCGGGAGTAGAATTGCATTGCAAATTGTAAGAAAAGTTTGGTGAAGATAGGTAAATTGCCTCTTCACAACAGTTTGTTAATTATAGCGGCTTATATTTTCACTCACGTCATCCCTACAAGTTTTCAACACATCAGGACTTGTGCAAGAACTTTTACACTGTGAGGACTTACTGTACACTCAGGTCCCCATAAAGTCATCCCTACAAGTTTCAACACATCAGGACTTGTGCAAGAATTTTCACACTGTGAGGACTTACTGTACACTCAGGTCCCATAAAGTCATTGCTACAAGTTTTCAACACATCAGGACTTGTTCAGGAACTTTCACATTGCGAGGACTTACTGTACACTCAGGTCCCCATAAAGTCATCCCTACAAGTTTTCAACACATCAGGACTTGTGCAAGAATTTTCACACTGTGAGGACTTACTGTACACTCAGGTCCCCATAAAGTCATTGGTACAAGTTTTCAACACATCAAGACTTGTTCAAGAACTATTACACTGTGAGGACTTACTGATACACTCAGGTCCCCATAAAGTCATCCCTACAAGTTTCCAATACATGCGTGCGCGTGTGCTGCGATTTTATCAAGACTCAGGCGTTCGCGGCGATTATTTCTGTGTTATGGCTAGCCATTTAATTTTGCGAATGCCCAAAAACGAAATTAGTAATTGAACTTGTAAAGTTGTTTGTAAGTTCTTTGTTGTTATAAACTGCATTTTTGATAGTCCCACAAAGTTACGAATAATTCGTAACATCACCCAAAAATTTAGAGTCAAATTTGCAATGAATTTGTTGGCAATTTGCTGGTATATATACGTCTTCACATCCTCATCCAATTCTTAGTTCTCTTAGTTACTCATCAAAATCATCAGGTATTCTTGCGCTAGCTCTTTCCATCAAATCAGAAAGTTTCTTATCCCAGTCAGTTCCACTTTTTGGGTGGGATTACATATGTACGTAAATTTTATTTAGTTACGAATCAGTGCAGCGAACGAGTGTACTTAGCGATCCTTCACAGAGAGGAAATGATTAACCGTACAATAAGGTAACTTGTGACATTTTCCTGTAATAATTTTGATACATGTAAGATATGGGAGGACATTTTGTTTAGTCACGATAATAACTATCAGGACTTGTACTATAATTTTCACATCATTTTTCAAGATAACTAGGATAGTGCAAAGTTAATTTTCATGCCCTCTAAGCAACCAGACGTTTGTCCCTACATAAACATTTAACTTATGGTAGTAAAAATATAAAGAACTAGGTTAAACATTAGTCATCACTCTTAATCAAACCGAAAATTACTCAAAGTACTCAAATTTCGTTAGTCTGGATATTATGGTAGGGCCAAATACGAAGTAAAATAAGTCGTGACTTATTTAAGACGCGACTTAAATAAGACGCGAGCTGGTATAAATAGTTAGATGATTTTTTCGCTTATTATTTCCGTATTTAATGTTGTTGCCGCTCCACGTATCGCTTTTTTTTGCTGCAATTTATCTCTTTATGGTGTCAGCTTTGCTTACATTTTCAGCAATTCTGATTTCTGACTTTTTCGGCCGTTTTTAATTTAATTAAGACGCGTCTAAAATATGAACAGGTAAAATCTCTGTTCTTATCTAAGTCGCGACTTACATGGCACGGGTCTTACCTAACACGCGAACAAGCATTTTGGTTCGTTTATACGACGAGGTCGCATCTTACTTAAGTCGCGTCTTAATTAAATAAGTCGACTCGTGACTTATTTTTCCTCCTATAAATGGCCCTATGGTCATTATAATTATACGAGGTGTTTGCGGCTTATCGTTCGCGTTTGCGCATGTGCTAAAGTATGAAAGTCAATGAATAATTTTCATATGTGTAATAGATGTGTCTGAAGTGTATTTTCGCAAATATATTGCTTCGAGGAAATATTTCAAAATCAAGCGTAAATAGAGATTAAAGTGTAACAAATTGTCTGGCGTTCGAATCCTCGATATTATTTGCGCGCATTTTGTCTCCAGTTCGGAACTGTGTGAAAGACCATAGAAAGACCCGGTATTATAAACTTCATTAAAAACAGGGTGTAATTGGTGCCTTCACAAGTATTTCTGGCGTACAAAGACTTTCCGTATAAATGCTTCGCAGCCCTCACAGGTCAGTCTGGATGTCACATTTATTGAATGTTTATGTAAAATATTACATTTATTTGGTGGAAAAACTATTAGTTACTTTTGATATTTTTTTGAAATTCCATCCTGTTGATTTACTACTTTTGAACACATCATGTTTAAGACTGTTAAACAGGAATAAAAATAATATACTATATCATATTATTCAATTATATATTGGAATAAGATTGATAATTAGAATTCTTCTTTAGGTACCAGTTGTCAAGTCCAGTTATAAGGGCATCATTGATGGAATCTGATTGGTGATACAAGTTACAACCGAAGCAAAATTGAGTCTAACATATCCTCATGTCCCTGCATTTTGATCAAAGGACTGATTAAAACCCATCAGCCAAATAGACTATAGACCAGGAATTGTCTAGCATTTAGAAACAATGACTGTGAGTATGTGGAACTTATAAGACCTGAAATGCATTCCACCTAAAAGAAAACGTATGTCTTACAATAGTAAACCGCACATACTAGTATCCATATAAGTAGATCACTGCTGCTTCAGTGTTTTAACACTGTTGAGTTCTAATTATTATGGCTATCAGGAATAAACAAGTAATTTAAGTCAACGAAAAAACAATGTATTAACTGCTGTGTTGGTATATTTTAATATTTGATGGATTTTCTTACTGAAATAAGATACTACCATACAATTTAACCCTGTATTAATTAATAATATGCTGAGGAGTTTCATTAAAATTTGTAGTTTGTAGCAAGGAATGGATTGTGTGAAATATGTTTTAAGCATTGTGCATTGCAATTTAACTAACAGGTGCCAGGTACCCCAAGTTTTTTTTTTAAATATCTAAAATGATCCTCCCTTTAATAGGGAGATCTATATCAGTAACGCATGGAAAAGGTCCAGAATGTTTTTGATTGCAACAACCATAGCCAGGCACATTTGTATTAAACTGGAACATTTTCTGGGTGTGGTTGATAGATCCACCTGAAAATTCATTGATTGTCCTCTTCCCTGAATTCCATCTCTAGCTCCTTGTCCTGCTCACTCCACAGGTTTTAATTAGAGTATAATTCTGAATCCTATAATATTATAACAGGGTATGAAGGTCAGCCGGATATATTTTATTAACTTCCAAGTTTACTCGAATTGAGTTAGAGGTCATTTAAATTCGGAACAAAATTACTAGAGTATCATCCTTTACCAAAATTTAATAATCCAACAATCATGCACTGTAAACATCAGGGTTGGCAAATCTTCTTATCTTATTTCTTCTTACTGTATATCTTCTTATATTAATGTAAGAAATAAGAAGTTTTTAATTTTAAAAGAATCTTATATGCAACCCTGGTAAACATTATAATATAATTATCTCAAACTTAGATACAATCCTGACAAACTTACCATATGGCCACTGTCGCTCTCTGGAAATTTTAATTGATCATACAGGTATCGAAATTCTCTTCAATGCACTTGCTTGGAGAACACTACCCAAAATTTTGCAGTGGTAGAAATTTCACTCATTCTAAAGCCACTCAGGTTGCGACATAAACGCCGGTTTAATCGGCTTGTTTTTAATGTTTTATTAACGATACACGCACAAAAATTGTCAAATTGATCCACGATATATGTTCCAGTGGTAGTTTTTATAATATTTAAATGTTAGTGATCTAAATGACAATTGTTGAATTGTTTATAAAACTCCACTCCTGACGCGTCCGCCATTTTAATTTAGTTGTGGAATACTTCATGTTGTGCAAATGAACTGGATTAAAAACAAAAAATGTAAACAAAGCCAACCTCGTACCCAGGAACCCAGGGTCTTTTTACCTCCGCCGCGGAGGCCTTGGAGCTTGAAAAAAAGCTCGCACATGCGCAAAAGCGACTGTAATCTAGCTTTAAATAAGTCGCGACTTATTTTTTCTCCTATAAATTATGTCTGTGATGCGGATACTTCGACGCGTAAATCGATACAAAGCAATATACTTATAATCAATACTGTATACAGCCAAAATGATTTGATTACTGCACAAAATGCGCGTTTTGTATGGTATAAATGATTTACTATATGCAGAGTATCAGGTACGGACTTGCTATCGACATAATATAAATTCGTGTAAGAGATGAATCAATGTATAAACTATACAGCGTCGTTTAATTTAAGGTTTCATTGCTTAAGTTTTAAAATTTGTAAAACTGATCAGAATTAACTATTGTCTAAAAATGACTAATCTTTTAAAATCAATAAGAATTACCATGGTTATACATTCGAGTCCCCACAATGTTTACACAAACGTTGCATGGTCCCCACAATGATTACACTCAAATTTTCAAGTCCCCACAACGTTTACACTATGAAGTCCCCATAACGCATGTTTTATGAAATTTTACACAGGTCCCCACAATGTAGGGAAAACTTACGCCATCAGAGGTCCCCACAACGCCATCTGCGTACGTATGTATGTCCGTGTGGACACGGGCTGCTTGAAGGGCCTAGAACGACAACGTGGGATAGTTGTTCATTTTTATATTCTCAAAATTTGTTCTTCGTAACATCTACCTACCTTATAACAATCCGGCACAAAAACGTCCCCATAAAACATCCCCTCCGTAACGACCCACCCTCTTCATAGTGAAGTGAACCCTCCCCCCCCCCCATATTTTAAACCACCCCCTTCCTTATAGGACCTTCCCCTTTGTTAATTAGCCATCTGATTAAAACCACCTCCAAACAGGCCACCTAAAAAGGCCATGCTAAACCGCCTTAAATTGGCTGCCTTTCAACAATTATACTCTCTATCATATCAGTACTAAAATGTAAATAATCCTCAAGTTTATAACAAGCCGCACACCCGCCTCTCTCTCCCTCTGAATTAACCCTTTTCAACATGCAACCGAAACTCTCCCCCCGTCCTTTCTTTGTTACAACCACTAATTATTTGAGATTGACGCGGGACACCATTGAATATCCTTTATAAAACTAAACTGCTTTAATATTAAAACGGACACGTCATGCTCTAGACACAGAATAACTTCATCAATTCCTACCTTGACAACATGCGCTGTGGAGATCTGATTGCCAAATGCTCTCGACGTCCTGTTCTGCCTCAAGATCAACTTCCGAACGATCATATCCGAGGCTTCGTACACCTTACTTTCCATTGTTGCGTAGGGACTGTCGGTGATACACGAGAGAGCTTGCAAAATCAACGAGTCAATATCACTGGAGTGATACGAGACTTTCCTATAAGCTCCTTTTAAAAGTTCTTTCACAACTTCATCCGGAACCGGTTGACCAGCATTGCACAGAGCAATCACGGACAAGCTGTATCCAAAATAATTGCTGAAATCACGACGCTTTTTGAAGCGACCGAAGCCAGAATTGAGGGCCGCTATCAAGTCGTGTCCGTGAAAATTTCTCGGATTCCGACAAAGTGCCAACACACTATGGATAACGAGGGCCAAATGGGGATTGGCTATGCTCGACAGGTCACCATTCTTCTCATTTAGAAAATTCTTCAGTGTTTCCTCAATGGTAAATCCGCGTCTATCTTTGAATTCCGACAGCAAGGTTTTGGGCATATGACCGGCCAGTCGCCGGATTGTGATCAGCGAGCCCGCTCGATATGCCAATAGATCAGTGTAGTTGCTTCTGTAGATTTGTCTCAGCCAATCCGAGGAACGCACAGCTGCCTGAGTTAGATCCGAGTGCAATGTTTCACTTGACAAGGCTTGAAAATGATAAATTCACGTGAGGTCTGAGTGTTCAGTTAGTCGTATAGCTGGCTTGCAAACTCCCTGTCTATAAATACTACCAATAATTGTTTAAAGTAAATAAAACCCATACCACAAAACTAATTCACTTGACCACATAATGCAAACGAGAAGACGTAAAAGAAGCTTAAAAGTAGGTTTTTATACATTGTAAACAACTCAGCTGTTTATCACCAATTCGATGATTCTGTTCGATGGCTGTGTGTACGTAACTTTGTAATTTGAACCGTCTTTTTGCCAAGGCAGTAGCAATCGACTGAGCACAGTTCTTTAATACACAGAGAATTCTCTTTTTGAAAAATGCTTTGACTTCCTTTATATCAGTCAAGATGCTCGAGGAGTCTTCGCGTGAATATTATCTCGTACAGGTATTGGCTTTCCCTTTTAAGAGGAGCAGAAAAGCTCTCAACAGCCACTGAAGTGCGCAACGAAATACTATATAGGATCATTAGGATGTGAGAGTTGTTCATCGACTTAATCTCAGATGAAAGATGGTGTCCTGCGTCAGTGACACATGTGCTTGGTTAAAGTCGTTAAACAATAAACATTAAACAAACAGATCTTTTTAACCCTGAATTGTTCACAAATATGACTGAGGCAATATTTGGACGAACTTTTACCATATTTGATAAGTAATTGTAGCCTTTGTAGATTGAGGTGGAACTTTGTATATCCTTAAAACACGCCTAAATATAGCCATTCAATAAAGAGTCCTTTGTTTGATTGAGGGAGATACAAATGGTTTCAGTTTTTCCTTCCTCTAAACATGATCGCTTCAAGTACGGTCTTTTGAAGAAACAATCTGCTCTTGAATTATTAGTATATTTGGGTGGTTTTTTAAGTTCAAGTCTGAACATGAATATTTTTTTTTACATTCGTCGCCCCTTTCCACGACTTTTAATGGTTTGGGGCCAGTTGTTCGAATGGCGTTTAGTCTTAAATGGCGTTTTGCTTAAGCCAATTAAGGTTTAAAAATACGCTCATAGATCTTGTGAATGACTGAACTGCATCTTATGCGGTAACATGGATAACACGGAGTCGGAGTTCCGGAGCTGGAGTTTCGGAATTAGAGTCCCGGAGTCAAAATGACGGAGTCTAACGTAATAATGTTGGAAAACACGGAGTCACAAATTATGGAAAACACAGAGTCTGTTAAAAATATGGGAAACACGGAGTCAAAAATTATGGAAAACACGGAGTCTGTTAAAAATATGGGAAACACGCAGTCACAAATTATGGAAAACACGGAGTCTGTTAAAAATATGGGAAACACGGAGTATAAATGTTTGGAAGTCTGCCAAGCTCAGTGGTCAAGGACTCAACGTGAATTATGCAAATAGCGTGTTTTAAACAACATGGCGTCAAATTCGCGTAACGTTTTAGCTATTCCGCAAATGGTTAATTAACGACCGAAAAACTTATCCTTAAACATAAATAATATTCCTCAATTAAATGGGAGGATATTGTAGACAAAGAGGAAATTGGATGTGGCAGTTTTGGTGTGATTTAAGGTGATATAAGGACACGTAATGTAGTTAGCTACAACAATAATTTTATGACTTTGAGCGAGAGGCATTATAGCTATAATCTTTTGTTATTGTGTATTCTTTCTTTTATACTATTACTGTGGTATAAAAATTAGTATAAACTTATGAGCGATCCTTCGTTTATGAATATACGTATAATTTACGTTGACTCCGTGTTTTCCAAACATTTATACTCCGTGTTTTCCATGTTTTTGGCAAACTACGTGTTTTCCATAATTTTTTACTCCGTGTTTTCCATTATTATTACGTCAGACTCTGTAATTTTGACTCCGGCTCCGGAACTCCGAC